TCGGAGAAATGTCACCTTTTCCAAGAGAAAGTACAGTAACTAGGCCATGTAGTTTCAGGAGAAGGAGTAGCTGTGGATCCTCGTAAGGTAAAGGCAATCCAGGAATGGCCAAAGCCAAACAATCTCGGTAAACTCCGAAGTTTCCTGGGGTTGTGTACTTACTATCGTCGCATTGTTCAAAGATTTTCTAGTATCTATATATATGTGGCATGAATTAGTTGTTTTTAAAGTTTTACTTTTTATTACTGTCTTGTATGTCGATATTCTTCTTCGTCGCTTGAGTCTTTACCAACTTGTCGTGGTAATCACGTGTCAGGTATCAGTAACCCGCTTCACAAGCCGACACCACTTCTCTCTGTGCGCTGCATGTCGATATGTCAGATGTCAATTCGAAAAGAAGTAGTGAAAAATGCACTCATTCCACTTATATGCAACGATCCCACATATATTGGACTTATGATGAAGAGAAGACTTATAACAAGTGTTCCTTACAGTATACGAAATACTTCCAGATCACTCTGAAGCATTACCACAGTTTAAAAAATCATGCGTCACACTTTGGTAAGAACATTTTGATCGTAGATCAAAGGAGAAAGGTATCTGGTACAAAACTATTCAGAGTCAGCCACCAAAAATTCCTTGGTTTGACAAATGTCGATTAGGCAGGACACCAGTTATATTAACTCTTCGTCTTCGTTCTGGACACATTCCGTGTGCCAAGTTTATGATGAGAGGAACTCAGTCCCCAAATTTTCCGTCTTTCGGAGTTGTTCAAGACATACAACATTTGTTGTCGGAGTGCGTCCTGACCAGGAGAGAGAGAGAGGCACAAACTTCTAAGACACCATATTAGTGGATTTCTGTCTGCTTTGGCCGAGCCACTGACGGACCTAGCGGACGAAGTCCGCTACATGGTGTTAAAGGCTTTATAGCAATTTGTTAAAACTATTTTTGTTTTTTATTTATTTTTCATTTTCTTATTTTGTATTGTGTTTGTTTATAATTGTATGGTTTCGGTATTTAGTTTAAGATATTATGGGACTGACATGTTCTAAGGAACAAAATTCCCTTTAAAAAATAAAAAGAAAAATAACAAGTTACTTTCGACGAATTAAGTGCGAAAAAAGAAAAAATAGGCGAAGTGCTGAGAATAGGTCAAGCGAAGCCAATGTACTTCTATATGCAGTAATAACCAAACCAAAAGGCGATGAAAACTTGGCTACCAGGGTACACTATTTAATAAAACATCCAGAAGCAGTGGAAAAATTTCGCGAACTCTAACCAAAATACAAACCACTCATCTGTCAAAATAAATCGGTAGGCTTTGTTAGATTTGACAGTGAAGTAACTTTCAAAAAAATCGCTCCGTAATGTTAAAAAAACAGTTGCACTAGATTAGCAAGTGTAAAACTTGTTACTATAGTGATGTATTATTGTTAACTCAGATTTGCGTATATTAACCACAAATTATAATTATCTTTTAGTTGGTATAACTGTTTTAATTTTTTTATTTTAATTTTTAATCTCTTGTTTTTCAATAAAATTATTTATATTTTCTATTTCTATTTTTATTTCTTTTTATGAAAAATAGATGATTATATAAAAACTGAATAAATCGTTTAATTCTCAAAAATTGTTGTCAAAATCTGAGGCCCTGTGCTTTCACGGGCCTCGTAGGGCGCCTCCGGCCGGGTCCGAAGTAATGGTCAGTGGGGCGAAGCAGAAGTGATGCCGTGGCGTCCCACACAGTGGCCAGGAGGGAACCGAGGGGTTTAGTGGGTATGCCCCATTATGGGGAGAATCCCACATAACTCTCGTGCCTGCCCCGAGGCATAGAGTATGCAGAAAGCATTCCCCTCAGGAAAAAAACAAGGATCCGAAGTAATGCTGGGCGGAACTTCCATCGGCGTCGGGAGCACGATGAAATATTTAGGGCTCGTTCTCGACAGCCGATGGAAGTTCGAAGAGCACTTTCGGCGTCTGGTCCCTAAGCTCGTAGGAGCCGCCGGAGCTCTGAGTCGGCTCCTACCGAACCTGGGCGGACCGAGCGCACGGTGTCGCCGCCTGTACAAGGGCGTGGTGCGGTCCATGGCGCTCTACGGGGCGCTCATTTGGTTCGACGCTCTGACCGCCCGCACTTATTGTAAAAATAAAAAAAAACAATTGCACTTGATTAGCAAGTGGGATTTCGATGGTGCGTTGAGTCAGAGTAGATCCGAGCAAAGGAAGGATTATAAAAATGACGATTCTGGCATTATCGTGACGGCATTAGTGCCACTAATAATGACTTGTAAAGGAAACGCAGTCTAGGACAAACATAAACCTTGCTCGGCCGCAGATTGCCGGCCTGTACAGTTTACTTTAAAAAGAAAAATAAAATAGCGGGAAAGGAAAAAAATAAGACTAACAAATTAAATAGCAGACCTGAGGCCATCTGAATTTGATAGCAATATAATTGAACGCAAGCTTATGTTAACCATGATAGATTGGAAGATTTGCACTAACTTATCAAAGTAAAAATACTCAGCAACGACAAGGCCTACAATGGTAATTAAATAAAGGGAGACCTACTTTGCCGAAGTATAGGATGTATTCATTTCAATAGGATCATGAAATTGCAAAAACATGCGGTGCTTCGCGTTTTGAACTACAAACTAATTTTGAAAATGAATATACTGATATTAAATAAGTAAAGTTTTTTAGTAAGTTCAATTTCATATTGAATACAGAGCAATTTCAACCACCACACTAGAGTGGGCGTAAAGGATACCCTTTACAGGATGTGTTTAGTATACCAAAAAAATGTATATTAGTCGTACAGACATCGTCACAGAGGAAATCAGGCACAATTGTGCGATACCGGGATTTAAGCCCGACTAAGAGAAAACATTCTAATAGCGCCGAAAACATCGATACATGATAAATTTACGTTATAACGTATGTAATTACTGATACAAAGCACATTACTCTTAATTAAATATGACAATTGATAGGAGAAGGTCCTATCTCCTGAAACACAGTTGTTATAATTAGTTCAGGAGACCCAATGAATTTTGTAAAAGGGCTTTTTATTTTTTATTTAAACATTCAAGAAAAAAATAGATATTTCAAACATCAGATGAAATCAATGAAGGCCCTAGAAATAACCCAATGTGCGCGGCTTCCAATCTGATAAGACTTCTAAATTTATATGGAATTTGAAGTTTAAGCATGCCCTTATCATTTATGACGATGTTATAAATTTAAATTTCGTTTCAGCATTCGGTCGTTACTCATATGACAAATACCGAAAAATATATAGTATCTGAATAATATAAATAACGGTTTTTACTATGCATTAGGCATTTTATGAATGATTTGGCAATATTAATCAAATTACAAATAATTTGTGCGGCGATAAACGCTAACATATCAATAAACATGAATTACTGCATAAAAATTATCGGTATACATGGAAGTAAACTAAAACGTTATGCATAGTGCTAAATTAAAGCTTACCAAAGAGTACAGGGCAATTTTTTACTTATCTATGGTCTTTTCATTGGTAATTTTAATCCAAATGATTTAAATATAACAATTAAAAACCATGATATATTGTTTAGAGGGCGATCGAATATTTTCATTCGTAGTCCGTTTCACAAAGTAAATAAAATTATTTTCGAATCGATCTCAAAATTCTCAAGAAATTGTTTTCGCCTGATAATAGACAGTACAATGGTATTGTTTACAATTTAATTTTATAGGCTTATAAATTTCCATAATGAAGGTAACCTTCATCTGTCAAAATACAAAGCAATTCACGTTACTCTATACCTTTTGCCTACATATTAATACAAAGGCAATATAAACAGCTATAAAATATACACAAATAATAATAAATTAATAATTTTACATCAAATCAATACATTCATTATATGAACATAAAGTAAAAACATGTTTCTCCTATAAATAATTTCCATTCAACATCTTTATGATTATAAATTACTCAAATTACAATATTTAAAACAGTTATTTTATAATTTAATTACCAAATACTAACAACAAATTACAATCAAATAAGTTAAGATAAAATATCAATGAGTTTTTAAATGACAAACATCAAAATATTAATATGTTTTAGACTAAACATGAAATTACAATAATATATTAATGAAATTTAAAATTTAAAATCTCTATATAAATATTCTTGTATAATTAACAATTTTACATGCTCAAATAGCAAATAAATTTATTAGAACAAACCACAAGACATAAAAAAATGATTGAAACTCAAAAGTTTAAGAAAAAAATTTTGTCTGTGTCCACTGCAAAAACACTTGCAATAAACATTGAAAGTAATAAAGTTTACTTTTGTATGTGTTTTAGCTGACAATAGGACATATTATGTGAGAGTATACAGAAATTCTTAAATTACAAAAATAAATAATCATAATAAGTAGATTATAAATAAAAAAGGAATAAGAACCTTCATTAATAATACTGAAATATTACAAGGAATGTTTACTCAGCTAATTAAAATACATGGAATGTAAATATTGAATTGCATAAATAACAATCTACCACAATCTATAGAAAGGCTATGTTTAGATAGAAGAAATACTTTATTTTATCCTATGGAAATCAGTCTTGTAACTTAGGGAATGGGTAATTTGTGTATCAACTAGGATCTATGAGGTAAATATTGTTGTTTTAATATTTTCTTGGATTTAGCATAGAATGAAATACCACAAATAGTTCGATAAAAGTATCTGGCCCAGTAAGAAGCTGTCAGATGTGTCAGAAAATATCTCAGATATCTGACACTTTTTTGACATTGTCAGGAGAGCGCTAGTGAGCTGTCATAACTTAGTGTTCGCGCCTAAACAGCGCTTTTTAACGGCCCTAAAATTTATTCGCACATTTTACGCGCCCCCGCAGCGATAAGTGTGTATACCCATCAAATATCAACAATAACACTCAATACAATAAAACCTGAAGTATAATAGTATATTTGTGATTCAATTGAAGAATACAACCTACACTTAGTTTGAGTTATGACTGGGTCAGATGACTTTATCAAACAATATATTTGCAAAACAGTATTTTAAACTAAACATAATTTAATTTTATGACGTCATACCTAAGGTATTTATCAAAGGATCTATATATCTATTGTAACATATTTTTGCGGCTATAATATATATGTAAAATCAAGTCAGTATCAATTTATTGTCAAATACTGCTAATCTATTTAATGAGAGCTCTACTATTTATTCATTTACTATTTAATATATTATTGAGTCTGGGTAAATGGAAGTTTCGTCTATTTAAATATAAATATGTTATAAAGTTAAGTATAATATTCACTACATTAAAGAAACTGATATTATATGTTAAGAAAATTTCAAAAGCATTTTATTTGGTGCCTAGAGATTTCTAAAGATTATTGTCGGTATTTAAAAGCATGTTGAATATGAGCTGTATAAGTAAATATGCTTCGGTCCAACTTATATTTGTTTAAACTATAAATACCAAATTATAGCTTATTCAACTAGCTAAGATTTGCTTTACTTAGATAAAAAATTAAATTATCTTAGACTGGTGTGTATTTGCTTTTACATCATTGCATTACATTTTATTATTTTTATGGCAACACTGTGGAACATCATAAAATCAATGAAAATGTTGAATAAGTACTAAAAATGCATGTGTAAGATATTTTGACCTTGACTAAAATAAATAGAGATTAACAATACTTATATTGAATAAACTTTTAATACTAATTATTTATTGCAGTTTCTTCTATACTTTAAACATAAAAAATTCTGTATTTTAATTCCTCTAGTTGTTATTTTAGACTTATGCCGCTTAGTTAATATAACAAGGCAAAAGCGCCCATAAAGCTTGTAGATAAACATTTTACTCCAACAATAATACAATATTTAGCCAATGCAATAATATTCAGAAAATTCTCAGGCACAAACATTATCCGCAGACCTAAATTCTGTTAGAGAATAACATACCAGAGGTTTAAGTCTTCCTAACAGGCAGAGCACATGCACTAAGACCAGTGGACATCTTAGCCAGTTCCGAAAAACAAATGGATCGTCTGGCAAAATCAATCTTCTCACAAAAGGCCTGAAATAAGAAAAAATCTCTCATTAACACTAATCTTAAAAATATAATAAATACTTTTGTGCATGTCTTTACTTTTTTTATTTAGATTATTACTTCAATATTGGTCCAGACCAATGGGACTTGTGATATTTCAGTAAAAATATATCATGTAAATAAATATTTTAAATAGGTAAAGTGAGTGTACAAATTGTCGATAACTTAGTACATTATTGTCCGAACGCTGAAACAGTTATTAAGAATGGTACACACCATTGACTAAACAATCGCACAACTGTTCTGCGATTGTAAATTGTTTGGTAGCCAATTCCACTCTTTATTCGCACAACTAAAAATTGAGTAGTGTGCGTACTTCCATACAAGCTCATAGGAATCAAAGCAAGACTAAACAATGACCTTATCATATAAGGCACTGTTACATGTTTAAATATCATTTTAGTACAAGTCATAAGTTTTTTAATTCATACCTTAAATGAATCGGGTATTTCTTCAATAGCCCTGTGAATAAGTGTCCCATTGACATAGAGACAATTTGCAGCTTCATCTTCTGGAACTGTAAGGGTTTGGTAAGAGAAAGTTGCTTCCCTTTCCATTCTTTTCAACAATTCTTGTGCCTCTTTGCTGGCACCTACGCAGAGAATATCGGGTCCTGCCACAGTGATATAACTCTTTAGATGTCGTGCACCTTTCGACATCTGTAAAAATGAAATACTATACTTATTTTATGTATATTTGAGGCACTATTATAATTTTTACAACCAATATATGCGATTATCAGAAGTAATATAGAATAAAGGTTGCACAACCCATGAAATGCTTTAACCCCGCAGAAGACAATAAAGTAAAAGCATTCATTTTATCTGTTAGTGTTAAGTATATTGTCTAATGTAGAAATAAACAATGATGCCACAAGACACAACCAGGAATTTATCCCTAGTGCAACAATTCTCTAATATTTCTTACTATGAGAGCTATCTTGTAAGGCAGAGTATTTTCTGGGTCCCTTGATTCTATTTGTTTCTTCTAGATACCAGAATAAGTGTACTTTAAAAACAACAGGCTTAAGTTTTATTGCATTGGAAGTATTACAGCACTTGTCCCAAGATCTTGTGTTTTTATTTTAATTTCCAATGTAGTTTGAGTTCCAATGAGAAAAAAGTATAACCTATACTACCAACTATAAAAACAAGTATAACTGACCTTTATAGGGGTGCAAGGAAATTCTGGAAATGCTTCTGCAATAGCACTTGCTCCAGCTTCATTGCTTGTATCCGAAATACCCACGAAAAATTCACGACCTGAGGAAAACATATTTGGTTACAAAACAAAAAATATTTAGTACTTGATAGCAATAATATTAAATCCTCTATATTTATTATTAGGTTAAACATAGCATATAAAAATTACCTGTGAATATAACATCAGAACCATTGACTTTGGCATAGGGATCGGACAATTCAATCACTGTTTGTCCTAGATCTTTTTGCATAACATCTTTGAGTATTTTTAGCTGTAAAAGAAATATGTATACAATTCAGTGCTTTAGTTGCCCATAGATCATAAGTTAAATCTCCAAACTCAATTCAAAGACCAGCCATTTTATGAATCAATCTTGGAGTGTAATAAGTTAAATTACTTCCTACACCAAAACTCCCAGCCCGACTGAGGTCCAAATCATTTTAGTTAAACAGATACAGTTGCATATATTCTGTGTTCTTTTTAACATTGTTTTTAGCAACATTAATACTTTGAATGTATTCAAATAAGAAATCATTTAGATACTTAAATTGATGATATTACAGGATAGGTACAAAAGGCTATTCAATCAAAATTTATTTCTCTTACTTAACTAATGCTAACTTATTGCCCATCATATTAACCAAGTGTTATGCAAAACCAACAAAAAAAACGTACCATGTCATCTTCCATGCTAGTAGTTGGTTTCATAAGCAGTGCAATGCCGTGACAAACGACGGCTATATGTTCTAGAACTACATTTTCAGGAAATGAATATCCCAAATCAACTTCTACCACTTCCAAATTGAGTTCCCTAAGAAGTCTAAGGAAGCAATCATGTTGCCGTCGCGCGTCATTAAGATCAGCTCTGTCTGTTACCCGCAATGCCGGTGTCACTTTACCAACCACAACGTGCGTGTATTCATGCATTTTGAAGTCCATTTTCGAAACAGATACAACGCCCTTCCAAGACAACTGTATACACAACTTTTGTGATACTAATACAAAATGCTGTTTCACTTCAGATTACTACCTATTAGACCAGTGGTAATCTTTTGTTGTCATAAATAGACCAATTAACGAATGTATTGATATAAAAGAACGTCCAAGATCAAATCCTTTAATTGGGTAAAATATTATTGAACATGGAGCGCCATAATTCAATCGTACGTGCCACAACAGTGTTGCCAATTCATAAAATAAAAAGCCCCTAATTAATCAACATGTCAAATGCACCATGCAGCTCTATAGTCTAGAGTTCTGAGGTAAAATTAAATCCTCAAAACTATTTAGCTTTTATTAATTGATGCCGAACAGTAGAGTGGTAGAACCCGCTTTACGTCTTCGCACAAATGGGTTGACTCGCCCGGTGTAATACCACGACCACACAGAAGAGAGGCTTGAAGTGGGAGCAATTCCGCCTTTTGTTTGATGAGTGTAGTAGCGGAGGTCCCACTTTAGTCCCTTTTCCTTCCCATCCTTTTTCTTATACGACAAGGATGGGAAGGGAAGGTGGATTTGACGGTCGTATGGGATATATCCTCTTTATGTCCGTCTCCTCCTTCGTCGGTCAAGGGTAAGCAACGCATCCACTAGTGCGAATGTCTATAGGCAGCGGTCCCTTCGCCATTTTGGCGGATTCAGGTAGCCGCTTGCTAGTTTGCCACCTTATGATAAATAAATGTTGTTGGTAGCAATTTTTTTTTTTTTAGTTAATGATAACACCAAACGCTTTTACCAAATTTGTACCTAAAAATACTTTTTGGGTAAAAGTTATAAGCAATTTAGGTTGAATTCCATACTCTTCATGAGGTCAAAATAATATACTACTAACTACTCAAGTAAAACTGTCAAAACTGGAACTGGACTCCATTGTAGGACTTTCCTTCCCCACCAGGCGTTCTTGGATCGACAGATATGACCGGCCCAATGCTACTTCAACTTCAACCAATCCAATAATAATAACGAAGTAACGGCTCGTGCACGTGTAGGACCCCTAGAGCTCCTGAGAGAGCCCTCGAGCTTAGTTACCCATTATAAACGAGGTTTAGGCTAAACGCCACCTCCGCTCGGCCACCTCAAGCCCGGTGAATCTGTAAATCAAGGCAAACATTTGTCACAAAAAAAAAGTCAACCTGATAACTTTGACAACTATGTCGTCTATTTTGGTTCTCTGTCGAATTATATCTTTTCGGATTTTATTCCTTAGAGAAACACCGAGCATAGTCCCCTCCATCGCCCCTTGTGCGACTCTTAACTTATGGGCCAACCCCATCGTCAGTAGACCATTGTGGGAAGGACGCACTGATTAAAGATTCTCATCCTTAGATATTGAGGAATTTGCGACGTAAGGATTGGACGAAATTTCCAAAGTGTTGCCTAGCCCAGTCGTATACATCTATCAATCTCTTTGTTGAGTTTCAGCCAAGCTGTATAACTTGTCCAAGGTAGACATAGTCATTTACTACTTCAATGGCCGCATTCTTGATGGTAACTGGGCCGGGACGATATGCTCATTCAATATGACTTTCGTCAAGGACGTTAGTTATGAATGTGGAGTGGTACTGATGGAGATAGACCTAGAAAGAGATGGATAGATTGAAATGATTTAAATGGCCTCTGTTACAACCCAATATTCTACCATTTATTACATAAAAAAGAATAACAAAACTATATAGAATTGTAAAAACTAATATTAACAAGAATTACTTAGATTCATAGACATTATTACAATCACTACCTGATTAAAAAACTTAGGTTTCAATGACCTTTCCAAGAGATTCCTTCACACTACTTATTAAATATTTTTGCTAATTAGTATAATTAAAAAGTAGCCTTAAGTGTTATATTAGGTGAAGACAAGGTGGATATACTTATCTTCAATAAACTATTAACTACAATAAACTACTATCTGTTATTCTATGAATTCTTACATTCAGTGGAATCTGGATAAGCAGAGTGCAAGTGACCTTGATATTGTCTTGCTTATTTGATCATAATTTCTTGCTTGGGACTAGACAATGACTCTCGGTTAAAGAACTTTCTTGCTTATCCAGATTTAACAGTATTTCATTAACAATATGGAACATATGGATTGGAGCATTCTCTATGTTTTAGTCTAATTAGAAACACAAATCAATAAACTTTCAAAATTTGAGCACCGATAGCACTTGATAACTCAATATATAGTAATCAATAAACAATAAACTCATTGGACTTGTAAATATAAATTTGACAACAACTTTTCAATGTACATCATAATGAAAGCAATGAATGTGTAAATATAAATTTGCCAATATTTTTTAATACATCATGAAGATGATCAAAAGGAGAGCTAATGTGCAATAGACACATATTTTATGCAAGTGTAGATTATGTACTAAATAATACAATTTAAATATCATCAGAAGTTTGGAGGGTGATTATTCCTTGGCGCTCCATTTCTTTATACATGATATCTTGATTCAGAGTGTGTAGAATGTCTTGGAATCGCTGTCGCAAAGCCAAATTCTCCATTCCAGCAATTTCATGTTGAGTTCTCTGTCGGCGCTGTTTCAATTCTTCTAATTCAGCTCCTAATTCATCAATTCTAAACTGCATGTTATCTTTAGACATGTCACGTGCTTGGAAATCAATCTCTTCTTCAGAAGACATACCACCGCTTTTAGATATGTGGGATACTGCAGATGTTGCAGTACTGTTACGTCCGGTAGATTTCTTTGAACTTTGACCTTGAAACATTTGCGAATCGAACTCAATTGGATAATCTCTCTTTGAGTGTGTATCTCCCATACCATACATTGAGTTATTATCTGATAACCGACTGTCATATGGTGATAAGCGACTGTCTTCCATATCAACATTAGCATTTTCATCATCACTATCACTGACAGCTCCACCAAAAATGTCAACAACATTTGAGGCCTTTTGGTTAACAGTCTCCGAAGTCACCGTCTCTTTCTTATTTCTTTCAGCTTTTGATTTGCGCTCAGGCTTAGAATGTGTAGACGTGCTTGCCTCAGGCTTAGGGTGTTCATCTTCTTCCTTGATAACTTCCCAAGTCACACTTACAGCTTCATTGTCTGCTCGTAAAAGTCTTTTAATTTCTTTTTCAATTTCCGGTGCTTCCACATACTTTTTCTTTAACGTTTTTCTAAACCGTCGCTTACGCACATTTTTTGTTGGAGGTGTTATACCATGCGGCCATAAGAACTTTTTGTCTACTTTATATGGATCTTTCTTTTTATTTTTAGATGGTGCCTCTTCTTCTACAGTAGGTGTATCTGGTTCATCTTTGCATATCATCATTTGGCATATATCAGCTGTCTTATAGAAACTCTTATTATCAATTGTTTTCAAAGATTCTACAATGGTCGGTAAATCTATAATTTTGGCATGCATCAACCAATGGTCGAGCCGCACTTCGCCGTGTCTCACATCGTTATCCACTTGTATTGTCAAACGATTTTTAAGGTTCTCCCCTGTTTTAAGCACTTCGCGAAGTACTTTAGCAGGCTCTTCGGGAAGCCTTAGTACAAATTGGGACTCGAGTTCTGACGGGTACTCAAGATCTTTTTTATCTTTACTCATTATGAATTGTATATACTAAATTCACAAATGTTTAGTTAAACAAAATACTACACGATTACTTAATTAACACTTACTAAATTGAAAACAGTTTTTTAAATATTAAAGTTCTTGCTTTTTGTATTCCTTATCCTTGTTCATTTAATATTTGACAAATATTTGACAGAAAAGAAAACCAACCAATCGCAGAAGTCATAGATAAGTGTTGTCAGTAGTGAAAAAACATCATGTACCTATTTTTAAAGTGTCTTGTTAATTCCAAGATGAACACATATACCATATAACATACCTTATATTAGTTTTTTTTTAACGCCGCCTTTAAATTAGGGGTAAAGATAGACCACACAATAAACTCAATTTAAATGTGAAAGCATTTTAGTACAATAGAATAGACTCTGTATAGTCTTTTGGTTCATCTAATCGTTGATTGGTTGGTTAAATCTCATTTCTGTGACGTAATTTGGACACGTCAATACCAAGAAATTAAAAAGGTGCATCATAAAACGAATTCATAAGACGATTGAAGATTCATTATATAAAACTGTAGCATCACAGTCGAAATCGTTTATGCTGAAATAAATACGTATAAGTGTTATAAAAACAGTAAGTACTGATTAACATATTTATAAAATAGATTAATTAGTATAATGCGATTTTTTTGCACTTGTATGAAAATTAACAAAAAATATTTTTATATAGTAGTAGTAGCACGCGTAATTATAATAATTTAAATTTAGCTCCGAATCTATATTTAACATTTATAAATCCCATGCATTTTTTTACTATTTCTTTTAATTGTGAAAAAATATTTTTCGCGTCCTGCCTATTCGTAGAAAGTTGTTTTATTAATTCTATTAACACTTGTGTGTGGAGTAAATCTATATGTTCATAACATGTTGTTTTTTTAATTTTGACAGACTACAATGAAGATCAAAGGAAGTATAATTTGTCTACTAGTGATATTTCACTGTTCATATGCACCTCCAGTTTCTCAAGATAAGTCTAAGGAACAAGATAGTGAAATAAAGGATGACCTGGTAAGGGTTGTAATTCTATTTTTAATCATTGCACATACATGGTTATTTTTTAATTATGAGAAAAAAGTAGCATTATCTGTTGATCATATTTAAGAAGTAAAAATTTATGATTGGAATCAAATTTCAAAGATAACACTTAATATAACAGTTTCCGCTCTGTTCTTTTTATAAAAGCTATAATAACATTTACCCACTCTCCTACTACTGATGGCTACAAAGGTAGAGGAAGACAAAGGAAAGTATGGATGGATTGTGTGAAAGAGACGACTGATAGAGATGCATGGAAGAGCAGCACATACTGTGCCAACCATCCATAAGGGATAAGAGCAAGTGGACGATGACCTACTGTCCTACTAGCTAATTGTTTCTTTTTTTCTGGTCATTAAAAAGTAACAGTGTATTATGTATTTATAGTCTACTGATATGATAAGAGACCAACCAATATGTGACTTTAAAGTCAGCTGCTGTGCATGATGTGGACAATCGCTGAATAATGTTGCATCACTCCTTAAAAAGTACTCTTTTACATTATGGAATACAAGATGCAATTGTGATCTAGTACATTTATCTCTTCCTCTACATTCCGAAGCTATGAGCATTACCTAAATAATAGTTTTTATTGTGCAATTACAATATTTAACAAAGTACACAAAGAAATTATTGAATTATGTTAAGATCATAAAAGTATAATGGGTAAATGGATATTTGCTAAAATACCAGTTGTTAAATACTATCTAATTATTGAAGGGAATTGAATAATATATCACATACTAATAATGAAAATGAAATGTAAGTCAATTTATATTGCTTAAAAGTCAGGCCTCTTTGTTTATAAGCAGAACTATACTTAGTGATTTACAAAAAAGAAAAATTGTTTCTGAAATAACCAGTATAAAATGTGAAGGTTGGCATTACACATAATGGTCTTAATTTTTTTTTAACTTGTTTTTAGCGACTATGTCCATATAATTGGATTTTCTTTGTTCAAAAATCCAGTTGTCTCTGTATTTTAAAAAAAAAAATAAAGCGATGGATATGTTTTTGTACAGATGCAATAGATGTGTAATTTGATTCACATTTTGCCAACATTTTTAATAAGCAAGGATTTATAATAAACATAAATATTTGTAATGTAAACTCTATTATAGTTGCTGTACAATGCATCTAAAAGAAAAATGAATATATTTTTACAGAATTGAACCAAAAAACTAGTTTCCCCGAGTTAATTTTTAATATAAGAAATTTTAGTGGCAGTACATGTTGAGTAATATATTGTACTCGTTTCTTGTTCTTAGGAGGAGTATATGGAATACCACAGATATTTAAAAGAAGTAGTTCAAGCTCTGGAAAGTGATCCAGATTTCAGAGAGCGGTTGGAAAAAGCTGATGAAGATGATGTAAGAGTAAGTGACCTTTCTTATTTCTTAAATTAACATTTCAAATATTGTATATAATGTATTTTATTTACTTGCTTGCTGTTTGTATTTTTTTACCAAATAATGTATTTTTTGCCGTTAGTCTGGAAAGATAGCCGAACAACTGGATTTTGTCAATCACAATGTTAGAACTAAATTGGATGAAATTAAACGACGTGAATTGGATAGACTCCGCCACCTAGCTACTAAAGTAAGGATATTTTAATGACAACAATATGCTTTTAATGTAATTTTTTTATTTGTTGTGTTTTGTTTAGTTTGTTAATGTTTACCTTGTCTTTTGGATAGGTCCTTTTACTTTTGAACGGGATTAGACTATACAATCTTAAGGTTTTATTATGTTAAATGTAAGCAGTATTTTATAATAGACAAATGTAATTGTTTTTTATTTTGAAAATAGAGAATGTTGAATATTGACATATTTTTCCTTCTTGTTAGTTAAACATAAAGAGACTGAGGGAATTTACAAGTCACATCATTAATACATTAATTAAAAGTGATTCATTAATAAAATATTTTCAGCAATTTGAATTAACTAATGATCTTGAAATAAATACTGGAAAAATACCATCAAATGAGCATTTAGATCATGATAATCCTCATACATTTGAAATTGAAGATCTAAAGAAGTTGATAAAGAAAACAACATCTGATTTAGAAGAGGCTGACAAGCAGAGAAAGGAAGACTTCAAGGTAAGTTTATTTACATAAAATGTTTAAATTTCATCATCAGTAAATCAGTATAGACAACAAATTCATGTAGCATTTTATTCTCATTACTAAATAACCTTCACCCTTTGGTGATATAAATCAACAACTTTATCAATATAATCCTTTGATTATATTGATAAAGTTGTTGATTTTATTTGTGTTGTAATAGATTTTTTAATCACTGTCAACCACTGGAGATAAGATATGGGATAAACATTTGAGTGAAACAAACAACTGTCCTAAAGTAATGCCTTTCTTTATATGCACTGATATTTTATAAGCCAACAACTCATAGTGCTTTGAGATACTCTTTCCAGAAAGGTTGATCACTTGAAGAGACTTACCGACTTACTTGAAGAGACTCACATGAAAGACTATGTATATAGCTAGAAATAATGCTACTTAGCATATATACCTTTATATACAATTTCCTTGTATAAAACAAGACCAAATGACACTTGAAGTTATTGACGCGCTGTGATAATTATTGTTATTGTAGGCTTTGTTGAATATTTAATATGCTGGTATTGGTACCCCAATGAGTCGCTTCTTATTTTTTTTATCTCAGATTGTTTAATGGTTATTAAGTAATCCCTTGTCATTCTTATATGAATATACACAGGATAACATTAGTCAATATTCGGTGTCTATTTCAGAAATATGAAATGCAAAAAGAATTTGATAAGCATCAAAAACTTGAGGCAATGGATGAGGTTCATAAGAAAGAATATATGGAGAAAATGAAGCAAGAGGAAGAGGAAAGGAAACATCATCAACCAGTAAGTTAAATTGTTAACTATGTTTTGTTATAGAGTTAAAATTAAAACAACTAGACAATTCTTTAGTTCAAAGTATTCATGTTTTCCTTGACATAAAAAGATATGTATAAAATGTTTATGCAAAAACTCTTGGAGTTGTTTTGAGAACACTTCATTAAAGTTCTATGTGCAATTACATTTACCAATTAAGCAGAGGGAAAAATTATGACGCATTTTTGTCATAAGCGGAAAGATAAGGCTTAATTAATTTTTTTATGAACATTGGTATAGGGATTTGTGTGATTAGCTTGATGGTAGATTACATTTCGCTACTGTGTAATATCTGCTAGGTATTGTTTATTGATAATATAGAAAACTACATTTTATTCATAAATATTGATATATTTAATTAAAAATAATGTTATAGTTAGTTATATTCTGCGAAATACATGATTGTTAATTCGTAACTATTATCGTGATATAACAAACCATAGTTAAAAAATAACAATTTTGATAAAATGTTGTTAACCAATTGATGCTGTCAATTTTTTTACTGTAAAATAGGTACAATATAATCTACTAGCTTCTGTCCGCATGAAATTAAACAAAAACAAAAGTAAGTAGCCTATGTGTTCTTCCAAACTATCCTCTATGTCTATGCCAAGATCTGTTCAGCCATTTACGCTACAAACACTAACAAACATCTATCCATCTAAAATTTCGCATTTATAATACTAGTAAAATGTAAGATTTTTTTAATCTCTGTTTAATTTTAACCGAGTTAGAGATTAATAATGTTGTAATACAGGTGTTGAAATGTTGGAGAGTGAAATTTAGATGTTATTGGCAGGGACTATGTTGTTAATATCTATACTATGTTTGTTGTTTATGTATATCCTAATTATTATGTAAATGTAGATAGCATATTTAGATATTGTATAAACACAGCTCCATCACCCCGGGTCCAAACAACAGTTGGAGGAGGTTTGGGAAAAGCAGGACCATATGGACCAAGCGTTTGATCCCAAAGCGTTCTTCATGATGCACGGTGAGTTATTTTTAGACAATTATTAAAACTTGATATTATCTGTGGCAGTTACATCATCCTGTGACCAGAGAACAGTTGTTAGAACTATGGAAAAACGCCGACCATATGGATAAAAAAGATTTCAACCCAAAAGCATTTTTCATGATGCATGGTAAGGTCCATAGAGAAATAGTTTATTTTATGTAGAAAGTTTGCCACTGTTTTGTTTTACACTTTGTTAGAATAGTCAATAGGCTGTTGCTTTTGTGAATTGATTTATGTAAACATTATGCACTTTGTCGATCACAGGTTTCATCCCCTTTTTTGTCTTGTATAGGCATATTTTAGATAGAAGTCATTTAATTGTATATGTTTGGCACAAAGAGAAAGTACACTCAATAATTTGCCAAAGAGCACTTTGTTGCTATACGCATCCCACAATCTTTATATTGCATTTAATAAACTTTCATTGGTAGCAAACATTTAATAAAAATTATATCCTTCAGTTGGTCTGTTGCTACTAAATTCATGTTTTATTAAAGTAACGCAAAGATTTTTGCTCTTTGGGATTAAATCTTTTACGCGTACTACAATGCAATATCACGAAATTGCCATGTAACGAAAATGGGTTATGGTTTTGACTGCTCTCTATATGACCAAAATTATTGTCGCAGCCACTGATTCCTCGATCATTATATGTCTCATTGATTTGCTAATATCCCTGAAAAATTAGTTAAACATGTGTGTACTGTTACCCATCTTGTATCGAGCATTCATTACGTGGAAATGTATTTAACAAAAATTAGTAATTAACATTACGTATACAGACGTTGACGGGAACGGTGTCTGGGATGCTGACGAAGTTAAAGCACTATTTATCAAGGAATTGGACAAAGTTTACGGGCCGGGAGGTCCAAATAAGGATCTGCATGAGAGAGCTGAAGAAATGGAGCGAATGCGAGAACATGTATTCAAAGAGAACGACCGCAACCGAGACGGACTTATCGACTTCCATGAGTTCATGACTGAGACGCAGAAGGCTGATTTCAATCAAGATGAAGGTGAGTTTTTTACCAAATATAAGTATCCTTTCTGACATATGGAAGGGAAAATATTACAAAAGTTGCATATTCTACACTTAATCTCATAAATTTCAATTTAATATAGAAAATCTTACTAATATTACAAATCCGAAAGTTTAGATGGATGGATGGATCAATGTTTGTTAGAGTTTGCAGCCTAAATGTTACAATTTTCAATGTATCGTATACATTTTTCTCCAAACTGCTTTGTTTACATATTATGTCATTTTTCTTAATCCGATTGTTATAGGTTGGAAATCTATAGATGAAAATCAAATTTACACGCAAACTGAATATGAGGAATTTGAAAGACGAAGACTTGAAGAACTGAGATACCTGCAGCAACGTGGTTTGGTAAGTAGATCAATGTATTCGTTAGAAAAATTGTCTTGCTTCACTGTATATACTTTAAAATGTAATATAAAATTTATTTCCAGGTTGATGCTCATGGTAGACCAGTCCCGGGTGCCCAGCATCAAATTCACCAAGCATACCAGCAACAACAAGCCTTCCAACAACAACAACAATTCCAGCAAGCCCAACAACAAGGATACCAAGGCCACCAGCAATATTATCAGGGACATCCTCAAGGACAACTGCCTCCGCAATATGCACCAGGTCAAGCGCCCCCAGGCTTTCATCCTAATCCGGTACCACAGGGACAACCCCAATTCCAAGGTTACCCGCAAGGTCAATTCCAAGGACAACCTCAGGGTCAATTCCAAGGACAACCTCAGGGTCAGTTTCAAGGACAACCTCAAGGTCAATTCCAAGGACAGCCTCAAGGACAGTTCCAAGGACAGCCACAAGGTCAATTCCAGGGTCAGCCTCAAGGACAGTTCCAAGCCCACCAGGGTCAACCCCAAGGTCAACAAGGACAGGCACAAGGACAACAGCATCCTCCAGCACAAAATCAACCAGGAAACTTGAACCAGCCTCCGCAAGCACAGAACGTGAATCAAGCATCTCAGCAACAGGCTCCAAAAGTTGATTCCCCCATCCAAGGCCAGTCTCAACCGGTTCAAGGTCAGAGTGGTCAAACCCAAACGAACCAAGTACAAGGCCAAGTTCCACCTCAAGGTCAGAACCCTGGACAAGCTTCGCAAGGTCAAAACCAAGGACAACCTCCTCAAGGTCAAGCACCTCATGTTCAGGCCCAACCGCCTAATGTAATAGTTAATCATTAAAATACTATGAATGCTATATTCTACGCATATTAATCACATCACAGCTACTCGCAAATTGGTGCCAAATTATAACCTCTTTGTTATATCTCATACTCACTTTTATAATTATTTTATGATGCACGAATGTTTTAACTTTGCCAGATTTAATTAGTCAAGCTGTGTCTAACTAACGAAGAGTTAGTATAGTATTAGCGTTAAATCTGATTCTATTTGACTGGATGTTGATTATTAACAAGTTATTTATTTAAAAAGCCTGAAATCCCGACTGATTTGAATCAATAAAACACAACATTTGGCGTAAGTTGATTAGAAAAAGGATATATATAAAAATATTTAAGTCGGGAAATTACGTTAAACATAATATTGTAATATGTCAAAAATGTTTCTCATTTAATATTAATTTGAATGTTGATAATTTAGTCATAGTTTTCTGCCACTATATTTTGAATTAAAAAGCAAAGTAATTTGTTATGTATGTTTGTCGGTTTGATATATGTTGTATGTAATGTGAAATATATAGTTCAAAAAAATCTAGTAAAGTTATTGATTCGTATTTGCATGTGCGTTGCCAAACTGTAATGGCTTAGAGAATTAGAAAATACTGGCTATCGTATTCTATAATAAATTATCAATAACACTTTAAGCGTTTTATTTTAACACTAGCTTTCGCTAACGACGCCGTCCGCGGGGAATAAAAAAACAAAAGTGAGTAGCCTATGTGCTCTACCAGACTATCATCCACATCTATAACAAATTTCATCGAAATCTGTTCAGTCATTTAGGCTACAAACTTTAACAAATATCCGTTCATCTAAACATTCGTATTTATAATATTAGTATGATTATTATCCCTATTCATCAAGAGGGACGTATACCCAAAATAAGGACTAACTGTAATAGCATTTAGTCAATAATTCAAAAATAGAAAAACAAGGCTGTATATAAACTAAAACTGTCGTGGTTTTTACAAATATAATATTCGTAAGATACGGGTTTCTTACAACGTAGGCACACACGGCACAATAATCCCGAAATATCGGGAGTTAAAACAATCCAATCGTGGTAAGAAACCCGTATCTTACGAACATGATACAAGGCTGGATTCAAGTCCAGAACCTGTAGATTTTTAACACTCGGTTACGAACACTGCAGTTGTATCGATCTAGAGGGATTTTCACATCAATCAATAGAAAATTTACGAAAGGCGTATTTTCTATTAAAAACTATGTTGAAAATAAATGCTTACTGGCTTATTATTAATGAAATAAATTCTGAAAGTTCAGTTATAGACTAATGCCCAAACCCTATTGAAAAAGGTAAAACAAGAAAGTATTCTATTAGCACTTAGATAATTTTAGCGTAAATAGTTTAGTCCCTTTATTTACGAAGTTTGAATCTTAAATTGAAAGTAAGCTTATAATTTAGATATAAATCGAATCAATAACAAAGCTGCCCTAAGACAATAACTTCCGGTTCCTAAGTAAGTTGAGTTGGTGTACTTATGAGGAGGGAATTTGGTTTGCCGTCAACATACGCCAGCGATTGTAATACAAATTTATTTTTTGGAGCACCCCATTGTATGTATATTAGTATAAATTATAGCAATTCTATCAATTTTTATTCGTCAACTAATAAGAATTTCTTCATCCCAGATATTTCTACTGGAACATGAGATATTATTCTATGGAATATGGGTATAGTCAGCGCGGCTTATTTAATTCTATATTATCTTATAACGTTTCTTATATTCTTTCGTTATTTATTTTATAAACCGTTATCAAACCGAGCTTTCAAGTAAACATTGCACACAATTTGTAATCATACATTGTGATAACAAAACGAATGTCATAGAGTCAAGTAAACAATTTCATCAAGCGATGTTATAAACACACAAGTATGAAATCATTTACATAACTGCTACAGACTGTATTCAGTAAAGTTATTGTAGTATATTACTCGTTAGTTTAAACCCAAAACTAAAATTCTTATTTAGAATCGCCTTGCTGTTCTTAAATTACGATCTACTAGCTTTCGCCTGCGACTAAGTCCGCGTGAAATTAAAAAAAACAAAACTGAGTATATTGTCTTCTAGACTATCATCTACATCTATACCAAATTTTATTGGAATCCGTTTAACCTACAAACTCTAACATCCATCCATCTACACTTTGGCTTTACTAATGTTAGTAAGAAAAGTAAGATATATTGGTAACATTAACATTTAACGAAACGTAGACTTCATGACAAATGAGTTCGAATGAAGTTAAGGAACTAGAAAAAGACAACATCAGTAAAACTTATTTAGGCTTATTATTTATCGCGATAAGCAATACGCTAGTCATTTCTCACTAGTGCATTCGTCAATGTACAAATATGAGCGTGTAAATATTTTCTCTGTATTTTATAGTTATGCAGAACTAAAGGACTGAATAGGTACAATTAACATAGACATGTCAATTGCCAACATATATAGTTTCAGCACACAGAACAGTACAGTTTTGTTACACACATGCTCTGGTTTTCGTCTAGGTTCTGGCTGCAAAGGCACTTGTGTCCAATCACAAGCTGGTCGTAACTATGGCCCTCTAAAGTTACTCACAAAATTATCAATAAACGACTAATTTGACAAAACCATTAATGGACTAATATTTTGACCATTATTTTAGAGAATTATAATTTTATTTACACTGAGCAATGAAAATCGATATAAATAAATATTACACAGTCGAGATGGAAATCCCCGCTAACGGATAGTAGATAGAAGGATAGTCAAGAGTATTACGTAATAAAAAAAACTAAATATAAAACTGGAAGTGCTGTTTATGTGTAGGGTAAGCAAAGCAATTATATGTATCTTTTTGGGAAGGGATACCTATATTTATCGGTGTGGCAAGCTTGTCGACAGCTGTGAATCTAGTCAACAAAAAGTTACAGAACTAAGCGGTTTTTGTTTTTTAAGAAAGGACCACTTGCATCTTATTAAAGCTTTTAATATTTGTAAACTGCTTGTGAAGAGTTCATAACTATCAAAAATTGTGGATGCGTCCATTTTGCGTCTTCCCATCCGTCGGCCTAAAGATACCGTTCTATCCTAAAAGTGCACAGGTTCGTATTTTTTCGACATTTAGAAGTTTTAATCGTAAGTTAGTTAGTTACTTTTTTATACACGAAGAAAAACAAGCTGTAGGTAGATGTGGGCGTTGATTTGATTTAACAATGAGTCTCGCCGCTGAAGGAAACGGCCGATAACAATAATTTGTTTGCATCACCACCTGACTCACTTCAAAACAGCATTGCCTTTGTATGCAGAGAGCGTCAATCTCGCTTGGCTCGCGAAACGAGGCCGCTATGGTGCGCTGTTTCCTATATTTTTTTTTATTTGTATTAAGGTTATATAGTCAACGTTTTAATGGTTTGTAATAAGACTAAAGCGTTGAGTTTCATTCCTACGGGAAGCGATGAACTAGATTTTTATTAAATAATGCTTTACCTTAACAGCCTTTACGAGGAGACATTTTCTTTTTTGCTAAAAATACGTCATCGTTTGTTTATAAGGATTATTGTTGTTATTAGCCTTTTAGGAATAACATAAACGTAGCAGTAAACTGCTATTACATTTTTCCTAATTCCGCGCGAATGATAAAATCGCTAATGATTAATTTGGAACAAACTAGATTTTTAAGTGACACTTCCAAGAAAACATTGTTAAATATGACTCATTTGTCTTTTGTTTCTGCTAAACAAACATTACTAAATTAGATTATTCCTGAGAAGCAATTGGTTTAACTCTAATTATTTCAGTAATTGATACTTCATCTACAACCTTATAAAATATCCATCTATCTACAAAAAGGGAACTTGATCGTTAAATAATGAGATGAATTACATAATAACGGTTAATGTTTTAAATAACAATGAGGTCGTCAGAATGGGTTCGATTAATATCCAATGTGATTAGAAAACTGAATCTCAGTTTTCTTAATTTGCGCTATTTTGATCTCATCCGAGATTCGATAAATTCAGATGTGGTTTATTATAAAAAACAAAAAAAAAACAATTTAACAATTATTCACGATGCAACCACTTTTTTAATTGACAAAGTCGGAACCGAATAGATTGAGATCAGTATTAATCATAGGCTATTATACTCATTACGCAATTAAGGATCGTGAAGCGCCATTATATAACCTTGTTTTTAAAGGAAATAAGGCGTCGATTTTTCTTTTTAATAGAAAATGGTGGCCAGCTTGCAAACGGCCATTTCAGTTAAAATAGCCAAGCCACCGAAATATTTTTCTTCCCTTTCTTTATAATAAAGCGGTGGAAAGGGGTAGAGGACTAGAATTTAAGCTCCGACAGACACTGTGTAGTCATATTCCACATAGTTTGAGCGGGCCATCATTACAATAGTTGCGGACTCAACCACTGTTAATGTTACCAATTGATTTCAGTCTCCAAAAGCTCAATGAGTAATGGATTTGTTTGAAACAAATGGCTATAAAACCCTTGTCAATTAAAAACTCGTTGATTTAACTAACAATGTAATTATATTTCTCCAGCATTACCAATAACAGCATTGCCAATAGGGCTCATATAAGAAAAAAATTTGTCATGTATCGAATTTCTATACATCGGTATCGAAAAGCATTCATAGTTTATGAGCGTAATGTTTTCCTCCTGCGAGAGATGACCTCAGGACTCAAGATTACAGATACGTTCTTATAGGCAAACAAGGTTTGGTGATGTCATAATGTATTATCAATTATTGGACCTTAAAAACTTCCATTTTAGTAACAAGACGGTTTTTGATAGCCGTAATACCTCGTACCAAATAAACTAGCCCAGTGGTTTAAATGCATCTAAGTCTAAAGACATCGAAACGAATCTATCAAATTGAAATGTCCATTTGAACTATTAATCCCTCCGCGTGGAATTGAAAAAAAAAACTAAAGTGAGTAGCCTATGTGTTTTTCCAGGCTATCTTCTACGTCTATGTCAAATTGTATCGGGACACATTCAGCAGTTTAGGCTTTGAGACATCGTGTTCGAAACACCAGTGAATGTAGAATTGTTTATGTTAACGAACTTAACTGTGGGCTTCCACTGTTGAAACTCTTTTCTGTTACCATTTTTATTACTTTAGTTGATTTTTCTTGATTGTATCTAATGCAATTTTTAAGCATTACCGGGTAATACTATTCGATGCTTTTTTGTCATTAAATGCGAGGAAAAAACTGGTCGCCCTGGTCAAACGACAACTTTTGTTAATATCGTATGACATCATCGTGGTAATAATCAAAGATTAACAAATCTCAGCATCATTATGCTGATGCCTACAACCGTTTTGAACTCTAAGAATGTTTATACATAACTATTCAAGAAATGTGTTAAGGAATGGGGAACTAACTTTGATGGTTTTAGCCATCACCCAAGAGCACTGTGACCCATGAGGCCTTTTCCCAACTTTCTTTATTCCAATAAGGGGCAAACGATCAAGGGATCGCTATGTTATTTGATCCAACATGGACATTCGTAACGTTAGGGGAACTGAACTGAATGCGTCGCCAGCTATTGAAGGACGCTCTTTTCTTGAATACCCTTAAGTCGTTGATACAAGTTTATGAAATTTATATTATTTTTTTTAATAATTCTCGCACACTGTCTTTGAAAATTAGTTTATTAGACATGCCTATGTAGTATCGTTGATTATAGAAGCGTAAAATTTACAATCAGTTCAGTATTAAAAACACTTCTTACAATTCCTTAACGATGTTACAGGTCATAGATTATCGCTGGATGTGATTATTGACAATATTCTGATAAATATTGCTTGTACAGCATTCGTTGCTACTCTTTGACCTCACGGTTACGGTCAAACAGGCTGCCCAGAGCTCTAAGTATGCTCATTCGCCACTGAAGCGCCGTGCGGATCAGTCGAGTTTCAAAATGAAGGCTTTAATCGCCTTTGTCGCTGCCTTAGCGCTTGTCGCCGCCAACACACCCACTCCAGTGAACAAAGTCGTCTGTTACTATGATAGCAGGAGCTATGTTAGAGAATGTGAGTAAATACTTTTATTGCTGAGCGTCTTAATTAACTATATTTCGTCAAACTTGCGAATTTTGTAAAAAAAATCTACATATTTAGAATTTTTAATATAGAGAATATTGGAACATTATGGACACTTTTACTACATTTTTTTTCGACTCTACTACTACTATCTATTATCTTTTGCTTATGTTCGGGTAATTCTCTTAAAATGTGAAAAGTAGTATTTTGCAATTAGTTTACTCACAGCTTAGCGTTAAGGAAATGTCTTTACTAGGTTAAAGTAAGTTATTTCGATTCCGAATGAGTCGAAAATATGATTGTTTATGATTTCATTTCATTGAAATGAAGTAACTTATTTAAATAATTATTTTAATCCAACATTAATTTCTTCTTTTAGCCAGAAAATCTTTCGAGGATAAATTTTTGGTGTGATTTACCGGAGAAAGTTGATCCGGCGTTTTGCTTAAAAATTTTACCAATGCCACAGTAACGTTACTTTCTAAGTAAACATAAAAATAAATAATTGAGTTTTTTAGAATTTGACAATTACAAACAGTTTACTGTTAATATTGTAATTGTATGCAGAAGTTTCTAGAAGTGGAAGAAGGGACAATGAACATTTTTTAACATTATTATAGGTTTATTGAGTGTAAGGTTAAACTACTTGTAAAGTGTTAATAAATAGGACAATCATAGTCCAAGTCCGAGAACCAATGATGGATAATCTTTGCACATAATCTTTGCCTACCTTTACAAACAATTGACTATATCTTACAAATTACTTACATAACTAGTTTGGCTTACATAACATTTGAGCCGACACATAAAATGATTATCATATTTTTGATTTGAACAATAACAGGCTCAACTCGCAACCTCAAAAATTTTGCAATTAAAGTTATTTAAAATAAACAATAAGTCACATTAAAAACATGTTAATGGAAATAAAAAGATTTTTTTATATAGTTGTCTTGGTAAAGAGCAAGTCTCAATACGTACTACCTAAGTTTTATTACTATAAGAAAATTCTAGATTTATTATAGTGTTTGTTATAACATACCTAATATAAAATAAATGGCTGTATTTCGCCGACCTTGATAGTTTGCTAACGACAAATTATTTGATTTTTTTCTACAGACGACGCATTTATAACGATTAGGTAATAATAGCCGAGCCGGTGTTAGTGTAGTCCATCTTTATTTGAGGAAAATAACGTTCTTTGCCTCCAAAAACAACCCACAGCATAGACAAAGCTTGATTTAGTGATAATTTATCAGAAACTATATAACTTAGAGACAACTAGATCAATTTGAAGGTACTTATTAAATTCTGTTGTAGACAAACTAGATAAAATAATTAGTAGGTAGGTATTTGCCTGCGTCTATCACTGCCCTGTATTTATACAATGGTTTTAAATGTATTTTCCTTGTATGATAAATAAATACGGCAGTCATATTCGAAGTGTGGCAAAGAAGTGAAGGTGAAGGCAAGAAGATCGCAAAAAATAATCACAGTCTCGATCTATTACAAAAAGTTATGACGAAACTAAATCTGTTTGTTGTTTTATGTTGTCGTTAAAACATCATAATAATCTCCATAAATCATTAAAAAAAACTGGTAATCATTACCATCAATATACGAGATATTTTACTTTAATATTAAAAGCTTTAAAAAAAATACTTTACAATTTTTTTCGAGAGTTGTTACCTTAACCAAAAATCTTAAGTTCGTGTTATGATGAGTATAAGATCAGTTAGGTATCTTCGAACGGATAAATCACTCTTTATTGAAAGACTAGCTATTGCTCGCGACTTCGCCCGCAAGAGATTAAAATATGTTACTCATAAATAAATTACATGTCTAACAGTGAAAGAATTTTAAATCCGCTCAGTAGTTTTTCAGTTATTTTAATACATAAATACAAATCTTTCTTTGTAATATTACTAAAGATAAAGATAGGAGTAAATATGTTAGTATTTTAGTTGCGAAATTGAAACAGTTCCCTGTATACAAAGAACAGGTCTACTTGGCTTAGTCATTATGGAATAGGACCTTCACATTCATCTACAGATGAGGTCAGCAAATGTATACATTTTTTTCCTTTACAACGAATTTTGTTTTAATTTAGAATCGTTTGCCTTGGCCTCGTCACTGTGTAGATGATCATTGACTGATTTTATGTATAACTACAGCAAAATTTAAATGTACATACATATCAAACTTACTAATAGTTATTATAAATGCGTATAGATGGTTGGATGGATTGATGTTTATTAGAGTTTTAGCCTAAACGGCTCAATGGATCCAGGTGACATTTTACATAGATTTAGAGCATAGTCTGGAAGAACACGTAGGCTAATTGCTTTTGTTTTTTATCTTCGCGGAGTCGTGGGCGAAAGCTAGTATTTATTAGTTAAATGTGTTTTTGGTAAAATAACGTCAAAAGCAACAAGTCATATAATTGGCCTGTATGTAATAATTACGACTGAATATGAATTTTAAAAAGTTATTCTGAACTATACTGACAACATTCATTATCTCTATTTTGTTCGATGAAAATGAGCGGAATGGCAGTATTTCTATGTACAACATTTAATTTGTTAAAAATATCCTCTTTTCACTCATCATTAAACTTAAGTTGTTATTTACCTTACTTGGCCTTTGAGAGATAATTTATGTAAAGTAGTTAATAAGTTATTAGTAACAGCGATAGACTATCAGTTACTTAGAACAACAATGACACATGACCTTTATATCGTATCTTTTAGTGACAAACAAAACAAACAATTTAAAATGTTCTAGAATAATAATGAATGTTAACTATAGGTATTAATATTTTAATGAGAAAAGATTTGCCTTTGATAATATTATTGTTTTGGAAACGCTTTTTTATTTATTTATCAAACACAGTTCAAAATACAAAATTAAATAAAAACGCCTATAAAACCAATTGCGGGTTTTTCCTGACACGCTACAAAAAGTAATAGTATAGGTTATATTAGATTTTTAATTTTTACAATAACATAGTGAGTTCGCTCATACCATCATATACAGGGTGCACATCCTTGTCTTTGTAAAACATTGTTTTTAGTTCACATTTCGCGAACACTTAGTTATGTAAGTGGTTAATTTGAAGGAAACAATGGAAGATGTACACGTGATCTCTCTAACCCACGCATGATTAAACAATCGACCATGCTATACGGTGTTGTGTTACGAATTAACCATATTGTGTTTGTTACTAACGATACTAGCTGTATCACGCGGCTTTACATGCCACACTACGCTCTGACAACTCTTTATGGTCAAACGTTACACTTTAAATAATACTTTGCAATTTATAATATTTTACAATTTTCGTGGGATAAACTATTATTTGCTAATTTCCACTATAATAATGCCTATCTTAGTAAACTATACTTCGATCTGCAGTTCATTTTAATAGGACGAATAAAACAGTAATGCGTAGTAACAAAGGTACAGTGGTAATTGATTTACCACACATGAAATAATAGTTAATCGCATTTAAGAAATTTAATAGTCGACGTTATGGATAAAATGCCTACATGTAGCCACGTAACTAGGTCTAGCAGAATTAATGTTAACTACCTACTTATTGTTTCACTTTTCTGCCTACGTTGTGTTATTCGATAAAAATAGGTTAAATGAAGAAACATTTTAATAAAGATTTGAATATTATCATTTTAATGATTCGTAGGACAACCTCATTTTATATCAAGTAATCTTTAGCGATAGGCATTGCCTTCCTCGTTACAATCACACCTCTTATATTACAAGTTATAAAAACAACTTTGGCCTGGTGAACCATCACATAGGGTGCCACCCTACTTTGGACACAATTCCCCTGTCCATAGGGGAAATTAATAAAGTGATTCTTTTATTTATTTTTTCACATTGATAATTGCTACATCATAATATAGTTGAAGGATGCATTTATCCAGCTCAAGCCCGTATGCTGCCGTTGGACTTGGACCCGGCTCTGTCGTTCTGCACCCACTTGATGTACGGATATGCCGGAGTACATCCAGACACGTACAAGATGGTGCCCCTTAATGAGAACCTCGATGTGGACCGCACACACGCCAACTACCGAGCTATCACCAATTTCAAAGGAAAATATCCGTCTTTGAAACCTATGCTGGCTGTTGGTGGTGACGTCGATACCGAAGATCCTCAAAAGTATAACTTATTGGTGAGTTCATTTTTTACTCTATTCAAACTGTTTACATGTTATATAGAAATACGATGATCCATCTTACCTACATTATTGATTGTTATATACTTAACGCCCGAAAGTGGTTCAAAAATTTCACTGTATTCCATGATTTTAAGGTTGATAGAAAAGGCAAACGCTTATATCTTGACTTAATTTTATGTTTTTAATGTAGCTGGAATCACCGCAAGCTCGTACTGCCTTTGTAAACTCTGCCGTTCTTTTGGCCGAGCAACACGGCTTCGAGGGTATTGACCTCGCTTGGCAGTTCCCTAAGATTAAGCCAAAGAAGATCCGCTCTACATGGGGTATGTATTATCCTTTTACGTTATTCTATCGTAAAGAAGTACGATTAGCGGTGAACATAAGTACCTAACTACGATGACAACATTACCCGTAGTTCTAATACCTAACTATGTTTTAAGCCATATTGTATGTTATAATGTTCAAAATGTTTAAAAACCTTTTTTTAATATATTTTTTTTATTCTTTAGGATCAATCTGGCATGGCATCAAGAAAACTTTCGCCACAACACCAGTTGACGACAAAGAAACTGAACATCGTGAAGGTTTCACGGCTCTCGTGCGTGAAATGAAGCAAGCTCTCAGCCTCAAACCCAACATGCAACTGTCTGTTACAATCCTGCCTAATGTCAATGCCTCCAGTAAGTAATTATGATGAATACATTTCTCATTAATGTGGATGTAAAATTTTGCTTGAAATAAAAACATGAAAAAAGACCTAAGTCAAATATTAGAAGGGGTATAAACGCTAACATGCTTCAATCCAAATATCTTATTTTTAAAAAGCTTTTATGGTATAGGTATAGTTTAAAAAACTAAAGTTTTGACTGAAGCGGTACTTTTATACCCATCAGATAACAAAGCACAACATGCTGGATTTTTTTTAACTTTATATATTTCTATTTACGTCAAAATAAAATTAAAGTTATAGAAAACGATGATGTATTGTTGAGAGAAATAATAAATAAGGCTGTTGCTAACGTAATATAGTTACGACACATAAAATGCAACCTTTTGCGCGTTCTAGAAACAAATGCTGACGAATACAATTCTTATTGAAGTCAAGTACATATGTGCAGGTATTTGCATCATATGCAAATAAATTGTGCAATATGTGTTGTTTATCGCTTAAATATTTGTAGGGGAAAGATGAAATGTTTATTTGCAACTAGGAAATAAGCATTACCGTAGATTCTAGGACAACATGTAAAACTTTGTAAAATATTTACGTTTAGGTATAATGTAGCTAAATAGAGCAAGAACGTTACATTAGAACGAGATAACCTATGACTTGGTTGGTATGAAATTCAAATATCTCATGTGAAATGTTTCACTCTTGGAAGGAGATCTAGAAAATAGGGATTTAGACCACTACTAAACTAACTTACACTACAAGCAATGTTGCTACCGTAATTTCTAAATTTAACATCTATATTAATGAAGGTTAAGAAGCTGCCACACGCAGAAACATAATATTTCATTACTCAAGAAAAAAAATGTTTTACTTTTAGTTTATATCGATGTCCCTGCTATAATTAACCACGTCGATTTCGTGAACTTGGAGTCCTTCGACTACACCACTCCCCAGAGGAATCCGAAGGAAGCCGACTACACCGCGCCGATATACACACCACAGAACAGAAACGAGTTACTTAACGCCAATGCTGCTGTTAATTATTTGTAAGTATGACACATACAAGCTAAGCCGTCTAGCTCCGGCATACGATGTATCTTAATTATTCTTCTTAAAATGCTATTCTTTCGAAGTTTCACGATCATTAGGGCAACTACGTTACTTCTTACTAATATTATAAACGTGAAAGTTTGAATGGATGATCGTTAGAGCTTGTTGCCTAAACGGCTGAATGGATCTCTATGAAATTTGGCATAGACGTAGAAGATAGTCTATAAAAAAGAACATAATATAGGCTATTTTGATGTCGGAATTAAGTACGATTCTCGTTGAATACATTAATTTCCGTTTTATTCACATTTACCTGATAATTCTTGTACGGTTCAATATTTTACTGGATTTTTTTAATTCCACCGTGTCGGCGCGGTGAGCTGAAAATAAAGCTACTTGTGTTAGGAAAAAGAATAAAAAAAGGTGAAATAATGTAACGCTCACTTTTTCTCACATCTAGCGGTTCCTCAGAAATTATATACTCCTAGTATTACATGTCGTATTACAGCATATTTCTATTACAGCACTCAAGCCGGCGCTCCTGCTTATAAGATCGTTGTTGGCATCGCTACATTCGGTCGCACTTGGGCTCTTGACTCCGACAGTGAAATAGCTGGAGTTCCACCAATCCACGCTAACGGCCCCGGTGAAGCAGGTTTGTTTATCTTTGACACCTTACTTAGTGCCTCCCCTTGAATTGGCACATGGAACAGATAAGTACGCTTGTTCCCCGCGTGTTAGTCAACTGTAAACTATTGCAATAGTTCAAGTGGTAATTGTTATATCGTATATCGACGACTGTGAAATTTTGTCTTTTGTACACCCGTTGTAAGTAATTACAACAAATTCATATGTAACTAAGCGAAAATGCATTTGTATAGTTATAATTTAATTGTCATTACATGTTTATCTGTCTTTTATAGGACCTTACACGAAAACTGAAGGACTACTTAGCTACCCTGAAGTGTGCGCTAAGCTGATCAACCCTAACCACCATAAGGGCATGCGCCCTCACCTGAGGAAGGTTACTGATCCCAGCAAACGATTCGGTAAATAATAATAATAATACTTTACCACACCAGATACAGATTATGAAATTAACAAGCCCCAAAATAATGCTTTATTGCCAAGAGAAAAAAATTATATTATCATAGTTCTTATGCGCTTTTTACTAAAATAATTGGGAATTAGCAGCTGTCTTTAAATTTTCAGAAAAGGGCTTAACCAAGGATGAAGATTTGTCATATATATTTGGTTGGTACTCATTTATAAGCTTGGAGTGCTGCTTATAGCTTAATACCGTTTAATATATAACAAAAATAACAGTCCATCAAGCTTATGAAACGCGGCTTGTCTTTCTAAAACCTTGTTTCTAATTATTACATTAATAATCATATTTATCTCTATTATTAACTAATATTGTAGCTAAACCTAAGTGTACTGAATGTTAATTGATATGTTTTATTTGTCTACAGGAACTTACGCATTCCGCGTTCCTGATGACAACGGCGAAGGTGGATTCTGGGTGAGCTACGAAGATCCAGACACGGCCGCACAAAAGGCGGCTTTCGTCAAGTAAGTTATTCACTTTTCATTTATATTTATTAATTATCTGATCATACTAATATTATAAATGCGAAAATTTAGATGGATGGATGTTTGTTAGAATTTGTAGCATAAACTGCTGAACGGATCACGATGGGAATAGATGTAGAGCATAGTCTGGAAGAACACGTAGACTACTTACTTTTGTTTTTTGTTTTGTCTATATTATTTAACAACCAGGGTACTGAAAAAATTATGTGATTTTTTTACTTATTCTACTTTTCCACCAGGTCCAGAGGTTTGGGAGGTGTTTCGATCGTCGATCTTTCAATGGACGATTTCCGCGGTCTTTGCACCAGCGACAAATATCCAATACTCCGCGCTGCTAAATACCGCCTTTAAGTTATTTTTTTAAAGACGCGTTTTAGACTAAGTTAAGAGCATATAACTCTAATGTCATAAATACAATAAGATCTCCATAATAATGAATGTTTATTGCACTGATTCGTATATTTGTCATAGTAAATCAGGCACTCATCTCGATTCAGGAAAATGCATACATTTAAGAAAAGTGTTTATAAATAATAAATTTTAATAAACTTATCCTGATAACATTGTTTTTTTTTAAATCAAAGCCTTTGATGTCTTAACTCCTCACCAATAACTCCTAGCTCATTTGTACCAAATAGATTCGTTTATAAAAATCAGTTTGCCAATTTATTTTGGTAGGAGGCAAAAATAATAGAAATAACCAGTAAAATAACAACGGCACTTGATTTTTTTTAACAAAACTGAGAAAATCGTCCAGGAAACTCATTTATCAGAATAAAATCAACTGCAGTTACATCTATATTTCTTTGTGGAACATTTCGTTGTGCTTGATATGACGAAGAGACAAATTATGCCATAGTAATATTCATCTCAAAATCTTCTTCCTCCTTATTCTACTCCCGTAAGGTCGGCGCAACATGTTTTTGTCCTCCACATAACTTTAATATGGGACTGGGCCGGCTCGCCCGGTGCAATACCACGACCACACAGAAGACAGGCGTCGTTTTCGTCAGAAGAGTGTGGTGCCGCAGGTCTAATTTTAGTCCCTTTCCCTTTTCAATATTTTCTTAAGAGGAAAGGATGGGAAAGAAAATTGAATATGACAATAGAGGAGACGCTAAGGAAGAGGAAATATCATATGTGCGTATCCGCTACCGTCGATTAAGGGTAGGCAACGCATCTGCAATTGAGGATGACTATGGGCAGTGGTCGCTTTGCCTTTTCGGTAGATGCAGGTGGTCGCTTGCTCGTTTGCCACCTTATAATATAAAAAATAAAAAATGCGACAATTTGTTTTCAATAGAAGTCCGTGTGTCTAGTACTTAAGCTTTAAGTAATTGATAGAGATAACCGTCCGGTTCCAGAAAGATATTCCGCAATTCAGTGCTGATGGCATCAGGGATTTGTACCTAAGCTAAAGACGAAAAGTTTATTGAAATATATGATACGGTATACGTGGTTTGTTAAAAATTATTAATGTATTTCGTTTATACATAAATGGGAAAATTTAATTTTATCACTCTTACCCGTTTTTATTATAAAACATAAATCTTGTAGCACATAACAAAATAATTCAAGATAAATTACTTGTTATCTATATTTTACTCTTATTGGTGAAAGAAGAGAAATATTCACTTGATAGTTTTTAATTGTTTAATGTTCCAAATCTAATATTGTAACTTTTTTTAATATTATCTAAAGCTACCTTAACATATCCGATTTGTTATCAACCTAACCAGCCAGTTTGTTTTTTATTAACGTTTACCGGTATTAAGGTTGCATTAAAAATAATCACCGGCAAATGTGAATTAATTACGTTTGTAATAATGGCCGAAAATTATTATAGGTATACAGTAATTAAAAATGTAGTATCTATTTGTAACATCGAAAAAAAAATCTGTAATGAAATACCATATTTGTGTAGCTGACAATAACAATAGCATTTGATTTTTTTTGTCTGTTTGTCTATCCGTCCGCAAGTCCGTGTTTGTTCCGGATAATCTCCAAAACGGGTGAACCGATTTTGACGGGACTCGGACGGACTCAAACTGGCCGAAAAAATTGTTCAAAACAACTTGTTTATCGATTTTCATACCGATTAGTATAGCAATATTATCATAATTTATGGCAACATATTATTTTAATTTTTATCTGTGACGTCCTCTCACGCGAACGAAGTTATTTATTCTATCGTATGTCGGAGGCGGAGCGGAGGGAACTTTATTTTTAATATATTACATTGATTTTCTTTACAGTCTACTTAGAAGTACTTTACACACATTTGTAGTATTCAGATTTAGAGTTATATGCACGATTATTTAGTTATAAGTGAAAATGTCATTTATTATGCGAACACTGCAATGGCCGTGCTATTTGAGTGTCAATAAGTGTTTAGTTGTGTTGGGACTGTAATTTGCAATGGTTGTATTTAATAATGTGACGATGGATACTTTTCAACGAAAGAAATGGCTGTTATTGTTGATAACTATTGTGTGGCGGAAGCTAGACCTTGTCAATGGTAAGTTATTTGATAGTTAGATTTTAGTTCTTACGATTTGCACAAGTGTATTATAGATAAAAGTTTTCAATTAAAACATAGGGGGAAATTAAATCGTTCAAGACTAAACTTTTCCTACATTAATTGGGTAGTATATTTGATGAAAAAGAATTATAAAATATTATTATCACTTTTACAAAACTCAAGTACTTCAATTAACTTTATAAACTAAGCCATTAAATTCTAATCTATAAGAACAACATATCGTTAAGGACATTATGCCTTGGGTTTAATGTAAACAACAAAAGATTGTTTAGTAAATATTTCGTAATCTGCTTTGGTGTTTAGTTTCAGTCATGATAGCAATAAATTAATTATGAAACAATGTTGCTGACACAATAACAATAAATATAAAAATTCGCGGACTGACAATGCTAATACTAAAAATAGTTATTATTATTGTAATTTGTTTTTTATATGGATCCCAAGTTTTTAACTAGTTTTATTAATTTAATTTCAATGAAAATAATCTTTTGAAGTAGTCTTCAAAATTAAAATTATTTTTGATATACAAATATTTAGAGAATTACAGTGTCCAGTTATTATTAATAAAAGAGACATAAAATTCATTAACCAGTTTCTAAACTTTTTGAATCAAAATGTGATATGGAATGTTACAATTATTAGAAAATGTTAACTGAATAACCACCACCTACTTCAACATGTCAACTAGATTTGATTTAAGAAAAAACTGTATTACTGCAACATAAAATCTAATAAAGAAGAGTTTTCTGTTCTGACATCCTATCCTCTTTCTTTTAAAACTTTATTAACCATTTTTTTCTCTGTAAAATATGACAATACAATGTTAACTTTCTCCTCATCGCTTCGTATTAACCACAGCTTTAATTATTAAATAAGAAATAATTTATCATACTTTTACCTCAATCACCAAAATAAACAATTAAAGGATTTCATAAAAATTCCTTTTATGACCAGTGATGTAATGTTTATGTATTATTCAGTTATTATTCTAAAACATCATCACTGTTTTGATAAAGTATAGATAACAAATAATTTATCTTGAGTTATTTTGTTATGTGCCACAAGTTTGAATATTTGTACAATGAATGTGTATTTTTCAGTGAATTGCTTAAAAACTACTGTTATGTAGTAGTATGTCACAAATATACAATATTATGTGTATAATTACAATATTTTTTTATCACATTCGGAAAGGTCTTATTCTTAATATAAATATCTTTAAATTATACAAATTAATATGCATTTATTCCAAAAGTTAATCCATATTTTAAGGATTATTGTATAAAAAAAGCATTCCTAAGGTCTATTCATCATCATCCACATGCCCTTATCCTTTTCGGAGGGTCGGCACAGTATGTCCTGCTCTTCGGTACATCTCTATCAGCCATTATATCTGACCTGATCACCACTCCTTTCTTAAGCATATCCTTTTTCACACAGTCCATCCATAATTTATTCGGTCTTCCTCACCACGCTAACCTTTGGCTTCTCAATTTCTCCACCACTGGCGGTACTTTCAAACTTCCTCTAATGTACACATACCATTACAAATGGCTATTATTTATTCAATAACACTAACTAAAATGATGTTTTGTGTGTTACCTTTACTGGTTGTTTATCATTAAAAACTACAAACGTTCATATTTAAAAAGGAATAGAACATATTAAGCTATTACAGACAATGGAAAAAAAAAGATTTAAGATAACTCAAATGTATTGAAAAAATATATTTTCAATTAGTTAATGAAAATGTTCGGTTAGTTTAGTGTTAAAAAGTTGTAACATTAGACTAAGCAGCTTTATACAAATACAAATGTTATGATTTAACAAACATGTTACCGATACACAAAACAATACAAGGAATGCAGACATTATTTTGAAATTTGATATTTGCGTGTCAACTTAATCGCTCCATTTAAAAATAGCCTATACAGTTGTATGGACTTATATGGATCTTATGGCACTTTTTGATATTGACAATGTGGCTTCTGCTAGCTTATAGAGTTGCCAGTAAGCAAAATTCCCAACTTTTCAAATTATCGCATGTTAAAAATAAAACCAATGAATATTCTAAGAATTTGTAAGTTATGACCTGATCGCCCGCAGTTTTCTATTTAAATTGATATAACTTAGGATTATTTAAGCACAGACAAGGATGGCTTTATACTTTTTGTTCGGAATTAACAATAGGGAGTAATTGTTCGTTAACATCATGTATATGGCCCTTCAATTAATAAAATTACATGTTATATTTCCACATGTGATATTTTAGTGGAATTTTGAGATTACAATTGGCGACATACACCTGTGCAGTTGCCGCTTCCTCATTAGTTAAAAAATGATTCTTTTGAGATGACAACCCCGCAGCAGGCTAGAGTGGTTAACTATGGCCTAGTCTCCTTAAGTTATGGTAGGCTCCGAGCCGTTCAGTGGGGACATATTTTGAGCTGGTGATGATGATGAAGATGACATAGTTAGTTCACTAAATTGCCAACGGCCATATGATCTTTGTAGGTCTGTAACTCCACTATTTGTATGTTTAATTACAGATGAAGCGCCATTGTTTAAATTATTATTACCATAGGTTGTGACTATGTATAGTTTATGTCAACATTTAGTGTTACAGATAAAGGGAGTTGTTTTGAATTAGTCCCTTGATGATTTATATAGACATTATTTTACCATTGTTATTTAAAATCAATGTTGTCGACAGGCATATTTATAGTACTAATGTAAATATTTAGGCTACTAGGTAGCTACTGTTTATCCATCTACAGTTCTTTGTTAGCAATAACATACTAGCTTTTGCTCACCACTCTGTCTGCATGTAAATATATGAATCTTATTAAGGAGCATATTTTCTTCTAGATCTGTCCTAGATTTCATAGAGATTTTTTGAGACTTTCTGGAGATACCTTCTAACAACCATCCATCCATCCATCCATGTAAACATTGACAATGAAAAATATTAGTATGAAGTATGGTGCTTTATACCTGCGATTATCTTCCTTGGTACCCCAGTTCTTCTTTAAATTTCATTACACTGGATTTTTCACTATGTTTTACTTCACTTTAAAAATATCACATATAATGGTCCAGATCCCTACCTTTATGAGCATGGTTCTTAAGTAAATGTGCCATAGACACAACTAAACTTTCATACTTAAAATATAAATATAGTAATATATTTGCAGGTCTGAAGTGTTACTGCAACAGCGATAGCCCGAGCTGCCCTAACTCAACATGCGAGACAGATGGATTCTGTTATGCATCAACAACATTGGAAAATGGAGTACAGAAATATTCATACCAGTAAGTGAGCTTCTCTGTGTTGTGGCATAATTTCTGTTATGTTAGTTTTTCATTTTTATTTACTGTTTTTATGACTATATTTTAATACAAATTTCTAACGATATCTTCATAGGTTTTATTGAAAAAAAAAAACAAACTCACTAGTAACTTGAAATAAACGATCAGATATTTTATGGTACTGCGAAGGTACATATTTATTTTATTATTCCTTTAAATGGTTGTGATGCATTATTTACATAAGAATAGTCTCAACAATTGGCAAATATTCAACACAAATCTGCAATCTAACGGCTTGATAATAAATTTGAATATTTTGCAACATTTTTAATCAATTTTATGAAACAATTAGTTATAGAGTGCTGGCCTTAAGGTGTATGAACACGAGCCAAGCCTTCTATCGAGAAGGCTATCCAATCTTATGCACGCAGCCAAGATATTATTGCTGTTTTAAAGATTACTGCAATTCTGATGGGATATCCCAAGAAATATTAAACACAATGGTACATACCACGATCATGGGTAAGATGTTCTGCACTTGTGGGCGTGTGATACCTACTTGACAATGCAAATTTTGAGTTTGTTTGATGTACTATTAGAATATAATTGCATTGCCACTTCTTCCAGTAAGTTTTGTGTTGAGATGCCAATATTCTAACAATATCGCTTATGATTTAGTGATTTGAATATGTACCTACTAAGCGATAAAGGCGACGGCTCGACCGTAGGCCGGAGATAATTAATTCGTATGTTTGAATGATGTGCCGTAATGTTAACAAAGACTATTTGCCGAGTGTGCATTGGTTTCGCTTTAACCTACTAAAACGTAATGTCTGCTGGTTCCACTTGCGGCGCAGCTGTATCGAGTTGAAATCACTGATACCCATCGAGCACCCCTTCAGTTGCTCCACGACAAGAACTAGAAATGAATCGGTGGTGATAGAGTGTTGTAAGTCACATGACATGTGCAATCGTGACCTGCGCCTGGAGATCCATAAGAAGCCGGCAGGTAGGAGCGAAGAGGCGGTAGTGCCCTCGATGTCTCACTAAGCTGAGCACTCTAGCTTCTTGCCACCGATACCCAATAATATCAGACCCCAGTAGTCCCGCATGGCTAATATATCTACGATTATGTTTTTGTTCTAATATTACTAAGTTTTCTTCTCCGTAGACCGGCATTGATCATCGTATTTGTGTAGTACGACGCGTTGTTACGATTGCCTAACGCTCTGATTTGTGATGTAGATGTTGGCCCCAAGAAACGATATTCCCTCCTGGGGACAGGCCTATTTGGTGTCGCGAAGCCGAAAGCGCCGATATGTATTGCTGCGACACGGACTTCTGTAATGTTGACATCTTTACAGGTACGGAACACGTTGGGAATGTGTCACCGTCAGGGAGCCTGTCAGGGTAGCTTTGTTATGTGACGTCTGCGTAAGCAACATTTATCGACATGCTCGCCTCGCTCTCGCGCCGTAGATTAATAAATCTCAATCATACAACCGGGAATTTAACAATTAAGCAACACAATACAAAGAGTGCATTATAAAATTGCATGAGAATGTTACGATTGGGATAAATCTAAACGTACGAATAAAATAAATTAATTGAATTAATATTTTGATATTAAATTACTATTAAAGTAACGTTTTAACAATAAAAAAATGTATCAAGAGTCAACTACTACAATTTAAAAAATGTATACGAATTTGAGTGTATAAATAGAAGAGTGCTTTTTTAAATTCGTACTGAGGGTTTAAATTATAGTAAGAATAAAAAAAATACTTAATTACTATTATAATTTAATCGATTACTATAATGTTAAATAATTCAGAAGAGAGATTGGACGCTGCGACAGGGGTACGGGTATGATCTGTACACAATGAGATGATTGCGTAGACCTCATGTCATTCGACGATACAGCGATCATGGAATGTTCCACAAGTCGACATTTATACGTGATCATAAGCCGGTATTTTACTATCGTTTAGCTTTTCTATATTAATACTAATTGCATGCAATTCTACAATCACTTTTTAACAGATTTTAAACTTGCTTTTATATTAAAGATGCACTATTATAGACATGAGAGGTTTAAATCATTACATGAGATTCATAACTTATAAGATTATTATTGAAGGTGATATAACGGTGATGGATCGACCTTAATTGCAATGATTGAACTGTAAATAACTTATTCAATTAAATGTACAATAAAATTGATTAATAATGTAATTGCTTTTTGTTTGTTTTTATTTGCTGCATGAAGCTTGCTGTTTTCGTATCTACTTGTTATTAAGTTGAATGTGATGACTTTTGATTGACTATTTTCACTTATTTACACGCTACCGATTCTATATGATAGTTTTCGTGTTACTATTGGAGTACATCGGTGCTAAGAACCATGCAAAGCTATATGAATACAATTTACACCGTTGATTTCGGTAACTTTTTGGTAGCCATGTTATCATTAAAGCAAGTAGCTATTAGTAGTAGTATCTTTAAATGTTATCACGTGAAGCGAAACTTTGTACCCGTTATTAAAGAAATTGCGCGACTGGATGAACGTGAAATTTGACACAGTTATAGTTAATGTGGAGAAAAAGTGCATAAAGCTACTTTCAATAAATGATTTAATTTACATTTTCATGTATATCGATATCATACATTGTAAAATTTGTGCTTATTTATTCATGGTAATGTCAACTGGTGAAGGGCTTGTAAAAATATTTATGGTACATGGAATCGACGGGTATTTAATTACAATCAGATTTATGTAAATGCTTTACAAAATACATTGCAAAATGAGATGTGACAAATGTAATTCTGAATCAAAGAGACGGGTACGTCAGCGTCGGCATGGCAACTGGTGCCATGGCTTATGGGTCTGATGGTGCTCGGTGTGTGCGCGGCTATAAGTTTCTGGTGGGCAAAGCGGTCGAGCAAGGAGAAGGACAGAGGTGCCCGGCCGCTCTATCCAGTTGAAGAATCGCTGTGCGAAACCCGACATCCGATCACCGCTACCATACGAGACATGATTGAACTCACGACCTCCGGCTCTGGCTCAGGTGAGTTTTCCCTTTACATTTTTTCGCTTTCTGTAATACAAAAACGTCTACAATAATTTTTTTTTTAAATTAATGTAACATCTTTGCAATCATTTCATTAGTATTTATTGGGTTGTCCGATAAAGTCGTGCCGATTTTTAAGGAAAATTTAAATCCTGCTCCTGCTCGTAAATGTTGATCAACTATTATTTAATTATTATATACCATTCTATTTTACAACCCGTCTCCATCTTTCGTGCATCTCGAGAATTCCTTCCTACCATTTTTCTTAGGTTTCTAGGCAAATAAAACTCTAAAGGTATATTTATCTCAACTAAAGAGCTTAATGAATGAAAATGTCGAAATCCGATATCTCGAATGGTCTGGACAATGTGAGGAATGGGGTAAAATAACACAACCTGCAACAATTTTTGTCGAGTCGTCAAAGACTTATGGTATTGGGCATTGTTCTAATGGAATGCCTTTCCGATTCGCAGTTTCTAGACGTTTTTGTTCGATTGCTGTTTTAAGTCTGTTATATGTTATACATTTTTCATACCCCATCACTAATTGCTTCAGAAATGGTGTCTGCTCGTTGAGATTTTGAAGCAATGCCAAATGAAGTTACGATCCAACAGACGTCGCTCCATCTATAGTGCGGACATACTTCAAGACGGTTTACGTAGCCAAGCTTCACAGTATGGCCGTAAATGCGGTTGATATATGATTTATTTATCGTTCCAGATGATTTACGTAATGTTCTGATTGGTTAATATTCCGTTTGTTATGAACTTATATTGTTACAGACGGTGTATCCTAGTAATTCTTTATCTTCAAGGTCGAAATTTTATGCCTTTAACAAAGCTGAACATTAACATTTGAACTGTTCTTTTAACTACAGCATATTCGTCACAAACAGTGCATATACTATTTGCGGATTATGTGGCATTTTTTGCTATTAGGAAAGGAAACGCAAAAACGCCTGTAATGCACTATATTTGATACCATGAACCATGGCATATATAACTCTTATGAATTGACAAATCGTGACCAAACCTTTTTCCAATTATAGCTGAAATTATTCGCTTTTAGATTATGTTGTCAAGTTACATGTTTTCAATATTATTATATAAAATCAGGCTCTTTCTTACCCTACCTACCGAAGATCTGCACGAACTTAGGACAACCCTGTGATAATCTCTCGGACATTGTAGTTATAATGTAGTTAGTTAATAATTTTTACAAGCATCAAACATAAGTCTTTAAGGCATCTTCTATTTTCACAAGTTAGATGTATAGATACAGACACGTGTACTTGATTAAAAATAACGTGGCCCCTATTTAAATTTCATGAGATCTCGTTTCAATGACACGTTTATCTTTTCAGCATTTATAGAGGATCTTTAGAATACAAAAAAATATTTTTAGATTCATGTAGTTAAGTAGCAAAAAAATTGAAATAAGTTACCTCGTCTAAACTCCTGTTTCTTGCAGTAATAAAATACCATTATTTGGAAAAAAATCAGCAATTTAATGAGCACAACCATCTGAAATACTACTTACAGAATTGTAAGCGAAAAACGAAGTTTTTTTATTTCTTTTGTAGGCTTACCTTTACTTGTGCAACGATCTATTGCGCGACAGATCCAACTAGTGGACATTATTGGCAAGGGTCGCTTTGGGGAGGTATGGCGGGGTCGTTGGAGGGGCGAGAATGTCGCAGTGAAAATATTTTCATCAAGAGAAGAGTGCTCATGGTTCCGTGAGGCTGAAATATATCAAACTGTCATGTTGCGACATGAAAACATCCTTGGGTTTATTGCTGCTGATAATAAAGGTTAGCATTTTCGTTCTGTTTCCTTCTATTATAAGTTTTACATAGTTATCATTGTGTGTATGAATTGGAAAAATGAGGTTAATAATGTTTTTTAAAAGCAATATATTCGACAATTTGTATTATACCATACCATACCATACCATCAAGAATAGAAAGTGTAACGATTGGTGCCATCTTATTCTTTAAAATCTTGTAACTTTTAACTTGTGTGTCAGTTAATTTAAATATTAATATGTATTTCAGATAACGGAACGTGGACTCAACTCTGGCTAATAACAGATTATCATGAGAATGGCTCCCTCTTCGACTTCCTTACATCGCGCACTATAGACTCCAACACTTTGATTAAGATGTCGCTTTCTATCGCGACAGGATTAGCTCATCTTCATATGGACATCGTTGGCACTAAAGGTAACTATTACTATGATTTCTGCTATTATTCGAGAGAGTTCTTTTAATAATGTCGACTATAAAAGCTAATTTATTTTTAATGTGACTTTATTTTCAGGTAAACCAGCAATAGCGCACAGGGATCTAAAGTCGAAAAATATCCTTGTGAAAAGTAACTTGTCGTGTGTGATTGGGGATCTCGGATTGGCGGTGAGGCACAATGTTGCCAGTGACTCTGTGGATGTACCCTCTACTAATAGAGTCGGCACTAAACGTTACATGGCACCAGAGGTAATGCAATTTTTAAAAAAATATATATTTATTGACAATCTATCACTGAAGCGGCTTGCGAACAGACAGATTGAACACAAAAAAATTTCGAATGCGATTTTCTTTATCAGCAATGCAAATACAACTTCGCGAAATCTTTATTTTCCATATTACGTACAGACACTGTAATTTTAATACCTACCCGTCAGTAACAACGTGACATACGTATTTTCCAGGTTTTGGACGAAAGTATGGATTCTCGGCAGTTTGATCCATACAAACGATCGGATGTGTATTCCTTTGGTTTGGTTTTGTGGGAGATGGCACGTAGATGTGGCATAATGCCGGACGAATATCAACCTCCATACTACGACTGCGTACCTCCGGACCCCAGCCTTGATGATATGCGACGCGTCGTTTGCTTGGAAAAAAGGAGACCCAATGTCCCTAATAGATGGCACTCGGATATTGTAAGTACTATTATTTTTATATAATAGTATTAAATAATAGAGGTGCAGAGGTTATTGCGCCTACACATCTGCTATAATCGATACTTCCATGTGTACATTATTCTTTTCCTTTGAAATTTTTTCATCCCCTTTAAAAAAAACTTCTCTCTGTAAGTGGACATATTTTGGATATCACCGTTTATTGAAGGAAATGTTGAATATATTTTACGGTTGTCTTCTGTAAGGTGACAGTTCACTGGTCAAGAGGATCGTACCATTTGATATTTGTATTTATAGAGCGTGGTACATATTTTTACATTTATCGCTTTGTCTCGGTTAATTAATAATGTAATGAGCTATTTATACTTGAAACGATTCGAATTATTATAATTACGAGCCGTTCCCGTGCAGTTTTATTCACAGGAAATTATAAAAACTTTTTTTTTCTGATTACGTTTGTGAAATTTTCAATTGCAATTTAAATGCACAAATGACAACACAGACCTTTGACATTGGATGACAATTACCGTTACCATGGCAGCAATGCCTTGATGTCAGCTTGTGGTTTTCGTCTCTTTCCCGTAATTGCCCAAATTATTTGCTCCTCAAGTTTAATATGAAGACTAATTAAAAATATACTGTGATTGTTGGGATCATACATAACTAAGTAACGCTTATTTACGTTTTATTATATTAGTACAAATGAAGATTTCTTGTATTTTTAGGTATTGTCAGCGATATCGAAGGTGATGAAAGAATGCTGGTACCAGAACCCGGCGGCTCGGCTCACGGCGCTACGGATCAAGAAGACATTGGCCAACATCGCTACCGCTGATCATATCAAACTATGAACGCTCCCAATAAGGTCATATATTCTTAACTTGTTAATCTTACTAATATTATAAATGCGAAAGTTTAGATGGATGGATGTTTGTTAGAGTTTGTAGTCTAAACGGCTGAACGGATTTCGATGAAATTTCATATAGATGTAGAGGATAGACTGGAAGAACACATAGGCTATTCAATTCTGTTTTTATTTAATTCCACGCGGATGGAGTCGCGCGCGAAAGCTAGTAGTCATATAAATCTCTAGATAAAAAAATAATATTTGACTATGGAATGTGGTCGAATTCTAATGTTTGGGTGACCACGAGTTATATGACTAGATATAATTTAAACGATAGAATAGAAGAAAACGATAATCTTTAAATTGAATTTACTAATTGACTTTTTTTCGTATTACATATGCTTACTATTTAAATATACAAATGTATGAATAAAACGTACTCACTTTTCCACAGATTTCCGACGTCATCACTACTATGTGTTAGTGTGCGATGGTTCACGTAAAGGATTCCGACCCTACCTCGTAGATTTAAATTGGAGTAATATCACAATGGAGCATTTATTTTACTAAAATTTTACATTGGCACATTCGTAGTGATATTGTTTTGTTACCAAGTACGTAGATTTAAGTTTTATTAAGGCTATTCCGTTTATCGTTTTAATATTATTGTGCATATCGTAAACTAAACTTAGTTTTGGGGGTTTTTACTTTTATAAAGCTATATTACTGTGATATAAAGCAAAAATCGCAGCTATTCTCAATTTTGCTATTGATTAATAACCAATTGGTTACAAGTGTGTTGTTTTTATGTATGGGGATGAGGTGTTGTGGGATATCACCCATGCCCCATACTCGTGTGTCACCTATTTGAGTTTTTTTTTTAATTAGGACATTTTATCGTATCCAATGAAAAATGTGATATTTTAATACTAACAGTCTATATCACGAGCCTAGCGTAATGTGTTATACCCGCATTCGTAAGGATACTTTAATTATTATTAACTAAATGAGTTATTCTTATTCTATCGTTTTACATGGGAAACTTTTTTTGCTATACCCTATGACGTCATTTGTTTCTCACGTTTTTATGCACATTAAAACAAATTTGATTCTAAATGTAAAAATAATTAATAATGAAATTTAATTATTAGCCGTGTGCAGGTTTGCCGATTAATTCCCCTCCCATAACATCGATTAGGTCCCACGCTCGCCTGCCCATCGGCAAACCTGAACACAACTGATAAATTTAAAACTATTCTATAGATGACTTGTTAAATATATCAAATTTAGTCTAAAAAAATATCATCGTTATAATCATTGCTATAAATGTTGACAGATCTTTTTATGAATTGCTCGTCGCCCGATTTTATCGTTCGTTGTTAATTATTATTTATAATCTGACTTCAAATCATTAATAGATCTGTGATCATTATATTGATATTCGTTTACTGTTTATATTAGTAATATTTATAGTTGTTAGGACGCGTGTGTTTATAGACTAACAGAGGTTGTTGTGTTAGAGATTATTTGTATCGTGCCGTGGGTTGCCATGTACTTGTACAAACATTGTAATATCCTACATATGTTTGTACAGGAATTTTGACATACCTATCTGATAGAGAATGTATACGATACTATTCATACAAAGTTACTAAGCGCCGAGTAACTGCTTTTCAAAATATTTCGACTAAAGTTTTTTTATTTACAAGGCGTGTAGGAGCAAATTCTGTAATTTTTTTAATACAGATTTAGCTTCTAGATGTTATTTTTATTTTGTATATATATTATGTGTGTATTTTAATGCAATTATTCAATAATCGTTTACGTTTTATTTGTTATAATATTTATTGATAGGATTTCCCATTTTTTTCCATATTACAGTACAGCAAGCAAGTTAGTGTTATAGTTATAGAAATAGTACGATATTAGCAGCTTAATATTAAGTAGATATTCGAAATATTACAAATACATTCACATTTAACTTTTAAAATTGTTAGAAAAGTGTTGTTTATGTGCAATAATTTTTAACAGAATCGTGTTGTGTAACACTTCACACATATATGTGTTTATCCCACAATATTCTACCTCAAATCACTGACATTCGAAATTGTTTAGCTTTAAGAAAACTTCACATCCACTTCCCTTAAAAAAATAATTAAAAAAATAAAGGAAGGTTTGTATAAAAATACAAGTTTTCGATTAACGAATAATTGCTTTTAGATGTAACTATTAATATTTATTCACATTTAGATTTTTGTAATTTATTTTTAGGTTAAAGTTTTTTTTCAACATCACCTATCTAGTCCAAAAAAAATATTCGATCAACTTTGATAAGGACAAATTTTTTCAATACTTTTTGTAATTAATATTTTTGAAATTTACTCTTGTGACCCTTTTGATTGCAGACGATAATGGAAGACCATTTTTAAAATTAAATTGTCAGTAATTAAAAAATGTATGAAGTGTAACATAACGTTGTTTTTTAGTTTTTTAAAGTTATATTCCATTGGTATAATAGTGCGTAATAAATACTGTAATTTGTTGCAAATAGCTGATCGAGATTGTGATTTAAGGCTGAATGTTTTTAAAATATGAATATTCTTTAAATTAGTAATGCTGAATTCTGTGCAATAAATAAGTTTATATACAAAAAAAGAAAAAAAAAAGAGTTTTGTGATGCTATTAGTGAAGTTAAACACCATAATTGTATTTATACCAGTAAAACTATCCAAAGAAAAAATGTCTTTGTGGAATTTACAATTTATCTTTCATAAGTTTTAATTATAAAAGTTGAGATATCTATTGTATATTTGAAAAATTGATTGTATAGATTAACGTTAATTATCTCTCCTTCGATGTAATGTATCTAATGCAGTCCACACACGTTAGGTTTAGCGTGACGAGTTTGATCTAACGTGTGTGGCCTGCATTATGGGGAAAATGAAGTATCAATGTGCGAGGTACAATAAGCCTACTAATGTTTAGTCGGAACACATATCTAACAGTATGTAATCATATATTTATAAAGGCTATTTGACTTTTGCTGGACAATATCTTTGTACATAATTGAATTGACATTCGGTAGCACTAAAATAGACTGATTTACATTAAAGCATAGTATGGCATATATTAACATATGAACGTTTCTCCGAGTAATTTTATATACGGTGTTGATGTTGTTTTTTGTTGTGGAATCATTTATTTTGTTAAACAAATATATAGAAATAATAATAATTAATTGGAAATCGCATATATTTGATATAATATAATGTTTATGGATAACATATGATTGTTATAATAAATGATAAATATATATTTATAGAGTAAACAAGATCCATTTATAATGTTGAATAGATATTGAAGATTGATTATAAATATATTACGAATAAATGTATTCCACAGCAAAAGTGTCAGTTTGGAAGATTATTCAATGGCTAAATTACCTCTAATTGTAGTAAGCAATAGTATTGTGATACTAAATTTGTGAACATCATTTTTATTGGTGTTAACTTGTGGTATAATGTACCGGGATATGCTTTGCTACGACCCTTTTATTTAAATATTAATTAAATTAATTAATTTTGTAAGGAAATTTGAAATAGAACTTTATATGTAACTGTTTTTTCTAACACTTGTATGTGGGGTGTTTTTGTATACCATTATCATCTTATTTTATAAGTTTTGAGTTCTTTTAGAATAATTATAATAAATGTATATATACAATTTCTAGTACTCACTTTCAGTAAGAGTTATACCAAATAGAAGTTATGTAATTATTTTTGGATGTAAAATCATTTAATGCGTACTATCAATATAAAACAGGCTAATTTCATATTATAAATAATCATTTCTTTTGTATTAATGTTAAGAAATGCACATGAATAGTGATAGAAATAATGAAGAGGGCATAAAAATACATTCCTCGCTGTAGGAACTAAAAATCCTTTATTGAATTCATAGTTAACGAAATTTTTCTTCTGTCAAGAAAATCACTAGGTCTTTAAATACCGATAACGTCCAGTTATTTGGAACTGTTAAAATTATACATCTGCCTCAAAACATTATTGACTTATAACGAAGTTGGACCTAGTAGACGCACTAGAAAATGACTAGATCAAGAATGACTGTAATCACTACTAAGACTTCCACAAGCTCTTCTAACTGAATCTATGTTGGCCGCTAATTTTTTGGGCAATGTTTGTACCATTTCCGAATTGCGGCTACTGTCAGAATTAGCATGTGTCTTAGTGGAAAAGCAATTTAAATATCTACCCAGTCTTTCCGTGAAGCCCGTTAGAACTCCCCTCCTATCTCTTGTTAAATAGTTCAGGTATGTCTAGGAGTAGATAATGAAATCGGAAATCAATGTTAGTGAATTAGTATAAGTGTGTTAAGTTAAGCCTCGTTTGTTGTTAGATTTTACACTAGAAGTACGTTCTCGTTGTTGTCCGAGAAAAAACATGTTTTTGTAACATTAAACAAACATTTTTCTTGGTCATCCAACACGCGTATGCATGCACCTGAGACCGGTATCTTATAAAGACATTTTAAATATAACATTTCCACCGTAGTCTTTTTTTTTCACTAAAATTTATCTAGATTTCTAATTACGGGAGATATATACAAATAGTTTTGTATATAGATTATTTAAAAAATGAGAGGAAAGTGTTAGACTTATTAGATTAGTTATAACGTTCAAATGAATGGCAAACAATGAATGTACAAGCATCAAACTCTAGGTTTGAAATGATTTGATGAGCAATACCGAGAGAGTACAAGTAATGTAATTACTTAAATGCAATAACTTATGCGGTCAAAGGCAGTGTCATATCACGAAATCATACGAATTCGATGATTTATTCCAAATATGAATTTTATGTACATACCATTATTTAATTATCCCATTATATAAGTTTAACGTACTGGTTATGGAGTGAATTAATTAATAAACAAGTGTTTTTATAACCATTCGTTTTATTTGTCTTTCCTTTGTCTATTTATTTAAGAACTCGATTTCGGAGTGTTTTGGACTATCTTCTCATTCAGCTTCATCCGCATAAAATTATAATAAAAAAAAAATCAATTGAAAATGTTAAATTTCAATTTACGACAAAGGCCTTTTCCATTGGATGACAATTTAAGTATGGCAACCCTGCATCTTTGCTGCTACTGGTTTGTAGTTTTTGTCTCTTTCTCATAGAGCTATTTTTCAATTTACTCTCCCCCCATGATTAGTATCATGAAAGCAAATTGCTATATGACTCGCGTCGTAAGGCGTAAGGCTTTTCAACAATAAGGAACTAATTTAAAAATATGCAGTGATAGATGACATCCTAAACAACAAAGAAGTGTTTAACGATTTGTTATAGTTGCTTAGATAATTAAGAAATTGAGGAATAGAACAAAAACACATTTTATTCTAAAATTCGAACACTTTATTGGACGGATAAAAAATTATAATAAAATCATCTTAATATTTATTAATATAATTGACATCAAGTGCAATTGCCTTATACAACATTTTAAAATTTTAATATAAAAATTATGCTATGTTATAAAACTTAATTGTAATTGTAATCACTATAATGTTTAATTAATGTGGACGGACTACACAAAAGTACCTTAAAGTATGTGGAATATTTAACAATAGTTGTGAGAAACATTTAGATTGCCTATTTTATGCATTTTTGCTGATTGCACAAATAATACTGGCTACCAAAAAAGTTAAAAAAAAATGGACATAGATGATCATTAAGAAATTTAAAACTATCTGTAACTTTACTAGACAAAACAATGTAGTTAAAATTTCTTAACTGCTATGTAAAAGATAAAATATAAAATGCCATCATTGGGAAAGACGGTATTTCAAATAAACACAATATCACAATAAACAAAAACTGGAATGAAACATTTCAACAATCATCATATTGTAAGTTACACAAAAATAAAATTAGGTTCAAATCAAATTAACATTTTCAAACGAAAACTAGAGAAATGAAAAAAAAAATTCATTTTAACTTCAATATGTCAGTCTTCAATAAGTCTATTAACAAGCTGCTTATAATTGATATGATAAAATAAAGATTGAAAGTTCTTAATCAACTTAAAAACAAACATTAATGGCCACTTTGCAATTATAAATAAAACAATTAAAACTTCAAAATTTAGAGATTCATTTGTTTAAGATTTGTAAGCTCTAAACCTTATTAAAAAAGGGATTATCCTTATTATTAGCTGTAATTTTGATTTGCATTGTGAAAGAGAATGAAAGGTATAAAATGTATTTGTATGAATGTTAGCAGTATGTTTATAATCCAGGTAATTTAGGCATAAGACACTTTTTGTTCATATGCATCGTCTTCATTGTAATAATCTTGATCAGCAAAGGTTGTATGACGTAATTTACACCATTGTGCACCAAATCTCAGTATCAATATAATAACAGTCAACACAAACATTGCCAACGCAGCTATTGCAGGATATAGTATTAAAAAGGCCATTATTATATGTCACTCTCTCTTTCGTGTAGATCTTGATATGTCAAAGGTTGTTGTGAAATTGACGGAACAACTGACTCACTTTTACGAACCTCTTGATAATCTTTAGAAGGATATGGTGCAAATTGAAAAGTTTGACCGTGGACTTGAATCTCAGTGAAATCAAGTGGCGGCTGACGGTGAGGAGTGGCTGCCCATATAGATACTATCCAACGATTACCTGTGAATAAAAGATAATAAAATAAATGATAAAAATATTCAAGTAAAACAAGTAAGAAGTCGGAATACCTCCTTGAAGCAAAAGGGCACAATAGCACTTGAACAAACCTTGGAATTTTTGAATAATAAGAAATTAATTTGAAACCAAACTATAAAACTAACTGGGCACTAAAACTTCTTGGGTTGAGCGAGTAATCTTTGTCTACTTAACATACAAGGTTCATAGTTAACTAATTCATTGGCATTAAGTTGCCTAACATGTTCTTTCTTTGTAAAAGTCATAGTAATAATCATGTTATACATTGTATTTAACAAATTATTTTGTTTGAGTTATCTTTGCAATTCTATTCAATTGAAGTTGTAATTTATGATTAAAAAGTTTGTCCATAAGTACAACAAACTCAAGTGTATCTTGCACATAATGTTGGTATCTAAAAACATTATAATAGGCTAACTTATATAGTAAGCTTCACATAATAAAAATATTCCATTTAACATTGAAACAAAGTAAATATGTAAGTGTCAATTTGGTATAAAAACAATTTGGATAATAATTTTTTTTTAATTAGTTATAACAAGTTTTACAATAACAGAAACACTAACCGGTGTGACGATCTAGCCAATAATCCGAGTACTTGGAGCAGCAGCAAATAATGTTTAGAATTATCATAAACGTCAACAGGATTGTACAGATCGCAATTGTAATATAAAATGGTGTAAAATCACCAACTGTTCCGGTCGTTAACGGATTTAAATCTTTAAATGTACCGTTCTCTGTAAAGTAACCGTGACTTTCATATGATGACATTTTTTCTTATAAGTAAAAGTTCCGACCTGCCGAAGAAAAACATCAAGTCAAGAATTTAAATAAACTGCATCTGCATATTTAAACATATTTAGCCATGCATTCATAAAGTTTTCTAAAGTTTCGTGACCATTAATTTAGGGCGTGGACCATAGTCATGTTTAGTACTATGTAATATACTACACAAGATTTTTCTTACGTATTTACTTATTCCTATAAAACTATTGTTAATCAGAAAAGTAATAATTAAAATAAACACGTACCTATAAGTTAAAATTTGATCAAAAACCGTTTTTACGTACAAACAACGACGCTTTTACAAATGATTACGTACCAATACCAACCTAACAAAAATATTTGTCAAATGTACATGACTATCAATGTCACCTGTCACCTACACAATTCAAAAAACTGCCAACACAAGATAAAAAATATAACCAGATTTTAGACTTTTTTTCTCCGCCGTTATTAATGTTTTACAGTATTAAATAATTACATTCTGATTTTAAAAAAACTCTTTCACAATTTGACAATCAACAATGTCAGTATCATTTTATGTCCTCTTAATGATTATTGTTGCCATTGTAAGATATTATTTCGGTAACTTTTTCCGCAACGTGGCGAGGGTTTCTATTTTTTCCGGTAGTGGTTTAAACTCTTTAAGAAATGAACGTACTCGCTTAAAGGCCGGCAACGCATCTTCGGTTCCTCTAGCGTTGTAGATGTTCATGGGCGTCGGATGAAATAGCATTTGTTATTTCTTCTCGCTTGTCACCTTATGCCATAATAGATCCATTCCATCACATTTTGTATTTTTGGCAATTTTCAGTTAAAATGGAGACAAAGCTGTGATAAACGCAACTTTTTTCACCAACCACCACCACCATCACCAACCACTCGCGTTTTGTAGGGTTGCAATCCTATCTCGTTAAGTAAGCTACCAAAACATTTTTCGGCTATAACCGGAAATAGATTTCCGTTTTTTTTCCTTTCCTACATTTCCTTCCTTACTGTCAATGTCAATCAAATTGAATGCGTCAATCGAAGCGATGGTGTGAAGTAGTTTTTTATTCTTTCCCACTTTTAACTGCATATTTATATCCGAGAATATTGCTAATTTGCTCTTTTTCCATCTCTTGTTGCGATGATTTATGAAGTAGATAACATTTTCTGGTACCATTAATCACGATATCATTCAATATTGTACACAAAATTAATCATCATGTTTTCGTCTAAAATTCATTAAACTAACTGTTGAGAAATAGTGACAATTACATCGTCGCAATACGTTTTTTCACAATGAATTTCGAAAATAGCTCCAGTAGTGGCTATGTCACAAACGAGACCATATATGGGACTCACGAAGATTCCCATGCCGTGATGTCAGAAAAGGTGCAATCTCTGGCTGGCAGTATTTATCAAGAATTTGAGCGTATGATCGCGCGTTACGACGAAGATGTTGTGAAGACATTGATGCCGCTGCTCGTGAATGTGTTGGAGTGTTTAGACTCTGCATACCAGACCAATCAGGAGCATGAAGTGGAGTTGGAGTTGCTGCGGGAGGATAACGAACAGCTGGTGACGCAATACGAGCGCGAGAAGGCAGCGAGGAAGCATTCTGAACAAAAAGTAAGCCTCCAATACTTTTCTATCTAAAGACCTTGATTCAATTTCCTTTGTTTCATTTCACAAGGCTGTTAGTGCAATTTTAGTCCATTATTTGACTTTAAACATGAAGAATGTATTATTTGTTGTTTGTAAATTTACACTACAATTTGTGTTAAATATTTAAGTATGTGTGACCCATTTTGCTACGTGAGACACAAGGTAAATAATCTAGACTGGAATAAGTAGAAATTACTATGTACATTTTTTGCCATCTATTTGAATGTTAATGTTACCTTTGGGTATTGGGTATTGTTGTGTAAATTAAAAAATCTTAAAAATGATCTATGTAACATGAATGTAAAATGTATCATAGCAATTCAGTCTTATTTTTAAAATCATATCTGATAAGATACAGATACATACAGATTTAAATGTTTTAGTGGTAGAATTAAAATGAAGTTATTTTCTCTATTTCCATTAACAATATAAAATTTTGGATATAGACAAAAAGCAAATTTATCACTTTAATGCCTCTATCTATTTAAAAATAAATCTTTGTATCAAGATATAAACTAAAAGAGATTTAATTCTCATTCTTCCAAATATGGCCTCAATAACTGATATAGCTAACTCCAAAAAGTACTATTTTAGACATATATAATAATTACCGCCCTCTTAAAACATCTTTTAATCGCTTTGTAATGAACTCAAATAAATCTTTTTATTTTTAATAGCTGCTTGAAGCTGAAGATCATTTTGAAGGTGAAAGGAAAGATTTAACCGGGCGCTTAGAGGCCTTGGACAGTATAGTGCGTATGTTGGAATTAAAACACAAGAACTCCTTAGACCATGCCAGTAGACTGGAGGAAAGAGAGAATGAACTAAAGAAAGAGTATGCAAAACTACACGAGAGATATACAGAGTTGTTTAAGACTCATATGGATTATATGGAACGCACAAAATTGTTGCTCAGCACAGCTGCTAATGATAGGGGTGGTGAAGTTCGTGGCAGAATCAATCTCAACAATGTTAGCAGATCAAGTGGTGAGTTATTTTTATCTATACTAACATAAATATGAAATATTTGTATATAGCGAAATAAGTCAAAAACTACTGAACCACTTTCAAAAATACTTCATTGAAAAGCTGTGTTTTCACTGAGTATTATACTATGTGGTAGTATTATACTGAGTATATACTTTTTATACTATGTGGACAAAGTCACAAAAAAAAACCTAGTAATATAAAAAAGGGAAACAAGTACTATTCAATTTATAATGTCCATTTCAATTAAAAACATACATTTTGTTAGTAACAGGTGTTTCCAGCCTTCTAATTGGATTTAAAAAACTTGTATAAGTAGATAAATTGGATTATTCCTCAAATTTAGCAAGCAATGTTGCTTAGCAATGTTAAAACACTTATTTTGTGGCAATTTTGTTTTGGATGCAGCCTTATAAAGACCTGAAACCTAATAACTATGATAGTAAGACATTAAAATAAATAATGTTGCCAGTATGTCTAGTTATATAATTATCATTTCTTTATTTAGGGCCTATGTCTTTCGGATTCGCCTCACTGGAGGGTTCAGTGAATATTGTGGAGCAAACGGAGAGCATTCCCGGAAGTCCTGTGAGCCTTTCATCCTCACCGCCTTCACCACCAATCGGATCTGAACTAGCAGCTGTCCGGACCGCTGAACAAAGCCACCAAACTGATCCCATCAGGCAGCAAAGTCAAGTAAGTGAATTGCTAGGAACATAGACATTGTTATTGCAAAACAGAATGCTACTGTTACATTTTATACTGAGCAATGCAGAGTAACCTAATGAATTAAAGTATCCATAAGTTAATCATATTTTGAGATATTTATCTGGACATGTTTGTCATTTAATACATTTTTAATAAATAAAAACATTCCGCATGGTAACAAGTGATACACCTCTGTTTTTTTTTATTTTCTAACATTTCCATTCAAGCAAATAAAGAGAATACAACAGTTCATGTTAATATGTACCATTTAATGTATATCCGATTTCCGTTGGCATTGAGACCTCAAACACTGGAGGCTTAAACAAAGAACATAAACACGTAAAACTACATTAATTGCAAATTCGCAATAATTAAAATAACAAATCGGCGTTTCCTTTCGTAATAATTACTTAACGATTGAAGAACATACTGCAATAACTAATATAATATAAGACATTTGAGGTCTGTTTGTTTTATTGCAGCCATCATTGTTGCATTCACAAGATAATGAATAATGAATGTTGTTGAATTTTGATAGTTCGCAGTTTTCGAGAGGTTCGTGCTTGTATGCGCACTCTCTTATAATTGATATATCATTGTCTGGGGTGAACAACTGGACTTGTGATATTAAACGGCAAACTGGGCTTTGTTCACTTTTATTTACACATTCTTTCAAGTGCTTGATGTCAAGGTTGTATGAAAAGCATCCTCTGTTAACTGTTGTTGTACACTGATAACATTTTAACATCCATATTACTCTGGACTTAATTAGAATTATCAACACTAACATAAATATAAATTTCATTTTAGATTTAAATTCTAGTTAGTCATGTGTCAAACATGTCAATTACTTGTGTTGTTGTTTTTATTATATTCCTTTTTTGTTTGTTGCAATTAAATAGTTTTGATATATATTATCTGGCCAGTATTTAACTTCTTTATAAATTTAGGTATGTATTTTTATTTACAAGTATATTTGAGAAATAAATATAATAGATTGTATTAAAATTTTGTAGGCTACATCGCCAGTGGCTCCCCAGGCCAGTGCTGGCAGATCCCATACTAAGAGTGAAAAAAGAAGTGCAAACACACTATACCAAGAACTGGCTTTCCAAGATTCAGATCCCATAGTTGAAGATGAAACTGATATTACAGGTATGGAATAATATTGTAGAAAATGTGCCAAAATATAATTGTGTAAAAATAGGTTCTTAAAAATATAATTTATATTACAGGCAATTGGGTGCATCCCGGTGAATATGCTTCATCGAGTGAGTATAATTTTAATTACCTATTTGTAAGAAATTGTTGAATGCTTTGTTACTGTTATACTGAGTGGAAATATTACAGCAATTTTTCTGTTGTACATTGTGCAATACTTGCGTGGAAAGAATTCATTGCAAGATTTTGTAATTCCTTGTTTTGTAATGTTTATATTATTAGAGATAAGTGATTTATAATTACTTGTATGCTTGGCTCCTAGTCATTATTATGAAAAGAATAATGCCAATTTAATTTAGCAGATACTTTTTAGGGCTGATAATGATGATAGGTGTGAAGTTTTAGAATGGCTTACATGGATAACAAATATTAATTTGCGTGTACATGTTTTTTGCCTTATTGCATCGTTTTTTGTTAATAATGAACATTGCTTAACAGTTATATTAATATTTTTTCATTAATTTCAACTGAGATATATTTCTTTACGCAAAATATTTATGTATGTACAAATATGTGTAGTAATTGTTGAAACTGTTTACTTAAAAAAAATATTTTTAATTCTTACAATACAGAATGTAAGAAATGTCATATTCTATGTATTAAAATGATACATTTATTTTTATAAATGTCATCACGGTTCTGGCTATGTTTTTTTTAAATATATTCCAAGGGCAAATTAAAATTCAAACATTAATGGTTGTTTGTAACGACGAACAACCTTAATGGGTCCACATTAGTTTACTTATGTAAATAAACATATTTAATCGTGAGTCAAAACAAGATATTTCCGTCTATTAGTTATGTTTATTTTGTCTCTGATACAAAATATTTAAAACTAGCTGTTCCTCACGACTTCGTCTTCGTGAAGTTAAAAAATATAACCTATTGTACTCATCGATGACGTAGCTTTTTAATGGTGTAAGAATTTTTGTTATCGGCCCAGTAGTTTTTGAACTATTTCAATACATACAAAAAATCAAATCATTCCTCTTTATATTATTCGTGAAGATGACATACAAAAAATAAATAAAACCCATAGGAATTTTAATGTTTAGTTCTGGTTAAATGTAGTTACGAAATATATGTAAATATTGCTATTAAAATGAAGTTTACAAGTTAGATATTTTAACAAGACAAATTGATAGTTTTTCATGCGTCATATATAATGTATTCCTAGACAAAGTAACATTCGATATATTTTGTTTGTCATGCGTTGATACATTTTGACAAATTTAATCGATTTTGTTATATCGATAATGGAATGTCGCTGTGTCTGGACGCTGTACCAGTTTTATGTTATGTTGCTGTTTGATAAAACTAATGCTATTCATTCTATTTTCATGCGTTCTAACCTACGTTGCATCAACCAGTTAACGACAACTACTTTGGTGAGTAACTTTTGCATGTTAAAAGCATTAACATAGTTATTTAAGTACTTTTATAATTCAGTTTTGTACGAGGCTTGAGTGGTTTTGAATATTCAATTACATAGATAACTTTGTTTTAAATTACTTCGTGTTCTACGTTCATAGAAAAGTCGTGTTGCTTTGCGTACGCTAATCTCTGAAATGGGAAAACGAATTTCAATGAAATTGAACTGTAATTGATTAGTTAAATAAAAGATAACAGTTGATATAACGTAATATTCCATACTAAATATTTGTAAATTAGGAATTACAGCATGATTTCTGAAGACAGTTTGGGCAAAGACAACTTTACTCATGCCAATTGTAATAAATTAAAGAAAATTTTGTTTTTTCCTTTTCTTATAACATTATAAGTTACATTGAAATTACAAGGTTATTAAAAATAAAGTAAATTCCTCATGATATACAAAACTACTCATTAAACTGAACAATAGTAAGACGATTGTCTGAGTTATAAGTGATCGCTTTCCAATAACAATTTCCGATTATGTGTATTAATATTAATCCTACGCAGATTATAAGCTTCTACGCTTCCTTCTGTGTGCGGTCTATTACGAATAATTATAGCTATGTCCATATTCATCGATCCGTTTCGGGGACGCCGGCCCTACCTGTCATCTATTAATACTCCTGTCGTGTCTGGTCATGTGTCTCTAATCCAATCGAACATAATTAATCCATTATCGGTCTATTTTAAGGCAAATGAGTTAGATTTATTTATCATGTGATAAAATTGTTAATGGTTAAAATTCAAGTGGAGTTATGTTTGGTATTTAGATAAATATTTCGACATATTGGTTTTGTAATGTATCGTGTTTACGAAACAAACCACATAAGTAATTGCTTTAAATCTCGTATGTTTATATAAGGCGTTGAGATTAACTGCTCATATTTCCTGTTAAACTTTAACGAGAATTGGGATTTAGGTGAAGGGTCGTTTCAAAGTTGAGTACATTCTCAAAGCTGTACTCTTTTACAATTATAAATTATATCGCGTTCATATTATTAATAAGATTACTTTAGCGTCCTGTACCCTAATAAGATGTATTTACAATTTGGGATTTAACAAAAACGTTAATTAAAGTAATTGTGATTTTTAATTTCAGTAAATGTTATTCTCTATCAAAACTTTAATCACTTTTTAAGAATAGGAGTATTCTAAATTTTTTACTCTATGAGTGATTGAAAATGACTATCTGGAAATCTCCATTTTTTATTTTAGTTATCCGCTTATTGATTGAATAATTAAATAATACAATAAATCACTAGTAATAGAATCAATAGTTACATTATTAATGCTTTTTAATTGCATCTTTTCTTTTTAACCTTTTCTAAGTAACATGTGGCTAACTAATTTTCGTTCTATTTACACGCCTCCTAACTTATGATGCTCAACAAAACAGTTAACGATAACTACTTCGGTAAGCGTAAGTTGATTTTTCTGATATTTATGTGGGAATGCAATGGCCTAATGCCTGGCTTTAACCATGTAAATGTTTCTGTTTGTTTATTATAAATCATGTTATTATATGTTATATATCCATGTTATTTGATCATTTTTTAATGATTTCAAGCCTGTGAAAAAGCTTGTAGAGAGTATGGCTTAGTGTTGTTTAAATATTTCAAAATTTAATATGTTTTGTATTATTCAACAGGCAAAGAAGTTGAGAATCTTATTTTGGAGAACAATGAGCTGTTGGCCACAAAGTGAGTTTATATCGTGTTATAATAGGTGTGAAATGAAAACCATGTCCTCATTAAGAGATTAGATTTTGATATCTTTTTTAAGTATAACACACGAAATGTTTATCTTGTTTATGTATTTTAGGAACGCTCTGAACGTGGTGAAAGACGATTTGATAGTTAAAGTGGATGAACTGACCGGCGAGCAAGAGATACTGAGAGAGGAAGTTTCCAATCTCAACGCGGCCCGGGAGACTCTTAGAGAGCGCGTTAATCAACTGGAAGACGAACTCAGACGTCTGAAAGTGAGTAAATATAAAATGTCTACATTATTCAACATAAGTTTTTTGTTTCATAATAATATAAGGAATTATTTTCTCTACACAATTTATTTGGTAAAAATCCAGGTTTATTTAACAACTAGCTTTCGCCCGCGACTCCGTCTGCATGGAATTAAAAAGAAATCCGTTCAGCCGTTTAGGCTACAAACTATAAAACATCCATCCATCTATCTATACTTTCGCATTTATAATATTAGTATGATTATTGTTAATGTATTATTTCCTATCATAATCGAAGTAGATACACTTTATAATTATTTAACTGCCTAAGTAATAAGCCCGACTATAATATGCATATAATCAATCGGATATTAAAACATATGTAGACTATACACGAAAAACATTACATTCTTGTAAATATTGCAATTGTAAATAATGTTTAAATTTTCTTTAATCCAGGAAACTGTGAGTTCCACCACAAGTGGAGAAAATGAAGACGAAGCTGATGTTCCAATGGCGCAGAGAAGGAGATTCACTCGAGTGGAAATGGCACGAGTTCTTATGGAACGTAATCAATATAAGGTATAATTTATTCAATACTAGTCGTTGCTTGATACTTTGTTCCCGTGAAATTAAAAAATATAGCCTATGCTACTTACTCATAACATAGCTTTTTAATGACGTAGGTTTTTTTGAAATCCGCTCAATGGTTTCTGAGTTTTCCTCTTTATAATATTAGTATAGATATGTTGTGTAAATAACCTTGCAAAATGTTTCTAACAGAACACCAATTTAAACATTTTTAAAGTCATAAAATTGTGAACTTAACAAATACTAGCTGTTGCTCGCGACTTCGTCTGTGTCAATTTAAAAAGTATGTCCTTTGTTACTCATTAATAACGTAGCTTTTATTGGTGTTAGTATTTTAGAAATCGGCTCAATAGTTTTTTAGTTATTTCAATACATACAAAAAATATATATCTTTCATCTTTAAATTAATAGTATAAATTATTGGTTTGTTGTCGTTACGATGGATTGGATTATTATGTGTATTAGCTTGTACTAAAGGTAATAATTTATCAATTTCAGGAACGTTTCATGGAGTTACAAGACGCGGTACGTTGGACGGAGATGGTGCGAGCGACGCGCGGCGACGCCTCCGCCGGCAAGAAGAGTAAGCAGAGCATCTGGAAGTTCTTTAGCAACCTTCTCAAGTAAATATAAATTTACCATACGTACTATTGTTTAGTGCTTTGATTTTTTTATATGTCATAACCGGAATTCGCCGAAATGGCGAAACAACCGCTGCCCATAGACATTCGCATTCACAGATGCGTTACAATTAATTTCCCCTTCCTATGCGTCTCACCGTGAAATCCAATTTTCCTTCCGTCCCTTCCTCTTAAGAAAAGGGCGGAAAGGGAAAGGAACTAAAATTAGACCTCCAGCCTCTTTGTCAATTCTTAAAAATAATGATCTAAATAGATTATGTTTAAACCAATTTAGTTAAAATATAACCAAAAGTGTGTAGTTTTGTACATTATTAGACCAATCGATCTTGTAAATTCCAATCTATCTTACTTCTTACTAATATTGTAAATGCGAAAGTTTAAAGGGCTGGATGAATGTTTGTTAGAGTTTGTAGCCTAAACGGCTGAAAAGATCTTTATGAAATTTGGCATAGATGTAGAGGATATTCTGGAAGAACACATAGGCTATTTGCTTTTGTTTTTTTTTTCAATTTCCGCGCGGATGGAGTCGCGGGCGAAAGTTAATAATTTCATAAGAGAGAGGCAAGACATAATTTGATATAATACATACTAACTGAGATAATCCAAATCTGTTGTATAACCATCCTTAGTGTTAATTTAATATAATTCATAATTATTTTAGTCATTTCCAATAAACATTTAATGTGCAGATCAGCAAGAATCGCCTGCGGCTATGCATTTATTTTTTGAATTAAAATTTAATTTGAAAACAGTTACTCTCTTGGTACAATAATGTTGCTATGGCAACCATTGTTTAAACATGAGGGAATTAAAGGATTTTAGTAAGAAATAGCTGAGCGTTGCTTCTTTAAACCATATGATGTTTTTCAAGCTATTTAAAAAAAAAATAGCGATTTCAAGTGGTTTTCATCGGCAAGCTAAGCAAGTACATTTACAATATTTACTCTATATCTCTCTATAACTTATTTACTTCAGGGTAATCTATGATTATATATTTTTTACGAGTAATAACACGGTTTGTTATACTGCTATGATAAAGTAATACAACTTTGCGACTTCTCTTCTAAAATGCTTATAGTTTTTGCGCGAATTTTTAGCTTTTTGTTTCATGTAAACTATGAATTTAATCCCATGACTTTTTTAATTTTTTTTTTATTATTTTTATAAACTCAATACAGGTGTTTTTTTACCGCTATTTTGACGCGAATTATTATTTTTATTTATGTCGTGTTTTCATTTATATATGTCTTGTATATTTTCTAACGCTTGGCACATTAAGAACATTGCAAAATTATTTTAAGACGCGTTTGTAAGATGCTCGCGTTGATGCAATTATATTGCATTGGTTTAAATTGGCCGAAATTTGTACAATAAAGTACACATTACAGTTCCAAATTAATGCCTTATTATAAAAAATATATATAATATTAAAAAAAAGATGCACCTCATGTTTTACACAACGAATCTTGAATTACAAAATCATTCTAGTAAATCTTCACTAGGTTACATTTTCAATGATAGTGTTTTACTGCTTTTAAACTGACATTTGTGTGTGCAAGATTTGAGTTAATATGGAACAATATATATCGGTATATAATCAATGTGTATATACGTTTTCAGCCCTAGCGAGCGTCCGCAGCGGCCTCTGTCTACCCCACATCTACGCGCTGTGACAGCACCGCAGCCAGCGTTACGTCATTCCCGTACTCAGGTTGACTTCTTGGAAACTCAGCTGACTGATCAGCATCACAGGCGACAGGATAGGAACGAACAGTTCCGACAGGTAAATGTAATCTTAGTCTTACTTCTTACTAATATTATAAATGCGAAAGTTTAGATGGATGGATGTTTGTTAGTTCGGCGCTGTCCCACCAAATTGTAAATTGTCTGATAACAATCCAACTTCTAAAATATGTGATGGAAATATCAAATTTTGTTCCCCTATATTATAGTGACGTCATTTTAAAGCTATCTGAGCCTCTATCAGCGAGTGATGGGACAGGCCCTTAGTAGACTTAACTGCTGAACGGATCTCGATGTAATTTGGCACAGACGTAGAGCATAGTCTGGAAAAACACATAGGCTACTTGCTTTTGTTTTTATTAAATTCACGCGGACGGAATCGCGGGTGAAAGCTAGTATACTTATACAAATATACTTAACTAGTTTTCGCCCGCGACTCGGTCCGCGTGGAAAAAAAACAACTCTGTATCTTATGTGTCCTTCCAGACTACTTTCAGAAATCCGTTCAGCTGTTTAGGCTACAAACATCCATCCATCTAAACTTTCACATTTATAATATTAGTATGATTGGTAAATGTTGTGAATGTGTGCATGGAATTTCCGGATGGTAAATATGAAAATGACTACATACGACAGAAAGAGCTATGTTTTACAAAGTTTTGGTGTATCTAATGTATATTATTTCCACATTCACAATGTAACTGAAAGTTCTAATTGTAGGATGGTTTTAGTTTACTAACTATTTTTTTAACTAAAATTAAGTACGATTTAGAAATGCCTACGAGTATATATAAATAATAAAGGTAGAATAGAGAAATAGTTTCGCGATGTGAAAAAAAATGGAAAGACGACTGTTTAATATCTTTAAAGTAGGCTCTTTTTACTTAACATATTTTATGCCACAACATTTTTTAGTATTGAAGTACTCTGAAGGCGATAGCACTGAAAATTACATTAATTTCAAATTCATTCTGTTCCCTTGTCCTAAATATGTGTTATTGTCATGGCTACAAAAACAAAACTTTGGTTTTTCACAAAAATCATTAATTCACGTTACTTTATATATTTTTTCCATTGCCTATAATAAAACCTTTGTCTGTTTTCCTTTGTGAGGGCCCTTAAATCAAATATATTCGATGGGGATTACGTAAAAAATCTTATCCATTTTTGCTATTGCTGCCATGTTTTAATCTGTACGTCTATTGTTGTAAAAATAAAATATAATTGTTTTTGTCCATTTGCATGTGATACATATAAAACTTTAACGCTTTTTTTTCCTACATTTTCATCGTATTTTTGTGTTGTCCTTCCCTTTACATAATTCCATATCCTTTTTGTTTTCAGTTGAATCAGCGAGTGGAACTTAATAGTAAATCAGATCAAAATAAAATCAGTAAATTGAACTAAAGATATTTATTGATTGTGATTAGAAGTTTATTAATTATAAGCTTAAATGTGTTGTAATTTAGGTACAAATTTCTATGTAGTTTTATTTCGTATAATTATAAATTTATGTATACATTTTGTGTTGTCTCTTAAATAAAATTGGGTTTTGTTCGTATTTCACGTTTTTATTATATTTACATAATTTGGAATCTTCATAATGCAACAAGCCAGACCTTTCATCAGCCCACCACCTTTTTTGTCATCAATACAATATCCCCTTTTAACTTTATACATTCAAATACCAAACTATTCATTTTTTCATAGAAATTTGGGACATAGTATTATTAAACAAGTGCTAAATATATGGGTGCTGAAGATATTGCCAACTTAAATATTAAAACTTTTAGTCCTTCGACATACATTACACCAAGTACTTTAAATAAATAAATATTTTTGAATTTAAAGTTTTTAACCTTTACAATAATGTCACCCATGTTATCCTGGGATGTTTAAATAAATATTATATGTTATGTAAAATAATATCACATAAAATATTATGTAAAACCGAATATTAAACGATTCAAAGCCAGCTGGCTTATTTAAACAGAACTCTAATTTACACAGATGTTTTCAAGTTGAATATGACTACTTTAATAAGCCTAATTAGTATAAGGCTTCTCCAAAGTTTACGGATGACAAATTACCAAGGTGTTATGAGTATTTCAACATATGTCCTATTTTATATACTCATTTGTGTATAAATGGGTATGTAATTGTACATATGCGGAGTAATTTAAAGTAAGTGTAGTTTTAAATACGAGTCAATGATACGGTTAATAGGATATGATAATTTTAAAACATCATTTTCAACATTAAAAACATAAAAGGACATGTATATTTATACGAAGAAGTTCGATGTTATTAGCAAATTAGTATTGCTTTCGTGTCCTGAGATAGGTGAAATATGTAAAAAGTTAGAAGCGTTTAATTGCATAAATAATACACGTCTATTTAGTGGTATTACCTAATAATTGTGAGAAAGAGACAGAAAATGACGTACATGTCGACGTTTAGGTGCGGGCTCACGTGCGGAAGGAAGACGGACGTACTCAAGCTTACGGCTGGAGCTTGCCCGGAAAGAGTGTGCAGGGACAGAAAGGTCCAAGTGTTTCCCTTTCATCGGGAGGCGTGCCAGTACCAGTGCCTATATTCTGCAGGTATGTAAAACAATTCAAGGATAAGCTAATTCCTTGAAAATAAACCGATATACATACTTAGTAACCATAATAATTATATAAATCCAAACTTCAAGTGATTTAGTCGACCGCATTCGTTTTGTCCGGAAACGTAAGTGTATATATTTCGTACTATACGATTTTTATGTGTGAAAGGATGTCAGGCGAGAAAAAGTCTGATAAAGGGAAGTTTTTTATACCATAAGGTGGCAAACCAGCAAGCGGTCACCGGAAATCACCGAGAAAGCGAAGCGATTGCTGCCCATAGACATCCGCAATGGCAGATGCGTTGCCTACCCTTAACCTTCGGAGAAGGAGACGCATATAGGGAGCATATTTCCCCTTCCTATGCGTCTCCTCCACTGTCAAATACACTTTTCCTTACCATCCTTTTCGTATAAGAAAATGATGGAAAAGGAAAGGGATTAAAATTAGGTCCCCAGTACCACACATATCAGACGAAATGCGAAATTGCTCCCACTTCACGACTGTTTTCTGTGTGGTCGTGATATTGTACCAGGCGAGTCGGCGCTACAGTGCAAAGTTTTTATAACGGGCTCTACTACTAAACTGTTTAACAGACCGATAGCAGAAGGCGAGCCTCGTATGAGTTTGCTCTGCGCTGCCGGAGTCAATCTGAACGGTGGACGAACCTCAGACGGCGGTTGTATGATCGGGGACAGTGTCTTCTATCCAAATGACAGCGAAGACGATAATGATGACGAACAGAACACCATGTGCTTAGGTAAACTATTAATAATTATCCTATATAGTTTGTCTAAATAAGATTGTTAGTTTGACAATTCATTTCACAGTTTAGTAGGGATGGGTTGTGTAAAGTTTTTATTTAAAAATTAAATCTTAGTATTAAAATCCTCTTTATTGATAATAATGTTTTCATCGACAGCATATGAAATGACTAAGGCGGAATCTGTTCACTCGCCTGAAATCAATCAGATCGACCAACAGTTGCAGTCGACTCGTGTTCCCGAACACTCTGAGAAAAATCTTTCCTCCTTCGTATGGATATGCTCTAGCACTCAGAATGATGGGGTTGTTATGGTAAGTTTAAAAAAAATATATTTAAAAGCATTATACTATAATTCGTTTTATTGCTTGTCAATAGACATTTGCCAGACTATAGCGTAATGAGAGGTTCCCACGAGTATTATAAATATGTGAGACGTTTTGACTGAAGATTTACTAATAAAGTATTCAAATTTTAAAAATAAGTGTCAGAAACAATTTCTATACAGCACACTATTCGTGAACTGCTAAATAATTTTATTTTGTTCTTTATAGTTAATAAACATTAAGTTAATGTTATATTAAAAATGCAAAAGTTTTGATGGATGGATGGATGTTTGTTAGAATATGTCTAAATGGCACTACCTATCTCAATGCAATTAAGCACAGATTAATAACATGGTCCGGAAAAACATAGGTTACTTAATAACTAGTCAAAATAATAAGTTTAATATTTTTAATGAATTACTTATATAACAGATTATCGACGCTAATAATCCAGCGGCAGTGATAGAGACGTTCACTGTTTATGAGAAGCATATACTGTGTATAGCGTCGGTGCAAGGCGCAACTGATGAGGACTACAGGGAGTTCAAACAACGTGATACTGAACTCAAAAATAATGGAAAGGTATAAATATTACTTCTTACTTCTTATCGTACTAATATTATAAAAAAGGTTTTGCCCGCGACTCCGTCCGCGTGGAATAAAAATCATTAAAGTGAGTAGGCTATGTTTTGCAGACTATACTCTACATCTGTACCAAATTTCATCAAAATCCGTTTAGCCGTTTAGGCTACAAACTCTAACAAACAACCATCCATCCGTCCATCCAAACTTACACATCATACTAATATAATAAATGCGAAATTTTAGATGGATAGATGGATGGATGGATGGATGGATGGATGGATGAAAATTGGTACAGATGTACAGGATAGGCTGGAGAAACATATAACACTCACTTTTGTTTTTTCAATTCCGCGCGGAAGGAGTCGAGGGCGAAACCTAGTATACGAAAGTTTGTGTGGATGGATATTTGTTACTGTGGATATCCAAACATAACTGGTCTTGAAATTTGACATAGATGTAGAACATATTCTGGACACAGGCTATTAACTATTTTTTTTGATTTCGCGAAGCAAGTCACGGGTTAAAACTAGTCATACAGAAATCTTTTTACTTAAAAATCACCGCAAAGCCTTAAATTATTTTATATCCTTATAAGTGCACATGATTAGGTTTTTTTATTTTATATTAGTATGTCGGAGATTAATTGAAATATTTCTTTCAGACACAGTTCCATTGCCCAGAAGAGGAAGAAGACGAAAATGGCGAGAAGAAAATTGTGGTTGGAAGAAAAATTATGGTGAGTAACGCTTTATTTATATTTTTCATACTTCAAACTAATATCATAAATGCGAGAGTTTAGATGGATAGATGGAAGTTTGTTAGAGTTTGTAGCCTAAACACATTTGGATGAAATTTGGTATAGACGTAGAGGATAGTCTGGAAGAGCTACTACTCAATTTTGTTTTTTCTTTTATTAAAAAAAAATACACATGGACGGAGTTGCGAGTAAAAGCTAGTAGATTTCTATTTCGTTTTGTCACTGTATGGCGTAATATTGTTTTTATTTATAGAATTTTAGTTCTATTGTCAGTGACATAACAAACTTTTAATTTTCCTTTTCTTGGATATTTTTATAAATAACTCAATAAACGTATTTTCCAGATGGACTCTATTCTGCTGTCTCCTCCTGAATCTCCGGTGAAAGAGAAGAAAGAGAACGAGGAAAAAGATGTAGAAGAAACTGGCTCGACTTCGCAGAGCCCGCCTCTAAGTTCTACACCTATTACTAATACAAGTAAGTAAGAAAGTATTTGTATACAAGAAATGTATTTAAAAAAATTAATGCTAATTATCTTTTTATCTACTTATTATATTATAAAAGCAATCTTAACCACTAAAATACCTATAAACAAAGAAGTGACATTTAGAGCCTGTCCCATCACTGGCTGATAGAGGCTCAGATAGCTTAAAAATGACGTCATTGTCAGATAAGAACAAAATCCGATATTTCCATCACATTTTTTACACTTTAGATTGTTTTTAGACAATTTACAATTTGGTGGGACAGCCCCTTAAAGTTATTTCTTCCGTTTGTCAGTATTTCAGTATTAAATTAGTCAATAACCTTCAAAAACTTATATAAACATATAAAAAATGCTGAAATTTGTACTACATGTGAATTTAATAATATTTCAATAAAAAATTTCAATCATTATAAACTACAGAAGTAGAAATGAAATTGATTATAACAACACATAACTATTCAAGTTTAGTCCTTTGTTAAGTATTGTAATATTAATAACTAGCTTTCGCCCGCGACTCCGTTCATGAGGAATTAAAAAAAACAAATTTGGTTAACTTATGTGTTCTTTTAGACTATCCTCTACATATATATCAAATTTCAGTGTGATTCGTTCAGCAGTTTAGGCTACAAACTCTAACAAACATCCATCCATCTAAACTTTCTCATTTATAATATTAGTATGATTTAATGGAAACTTGCTTTTTTATGTTTTTGAAAATATTGATATTTAATATTGAAATCTATTATTATAATTTTCCAGTTGTGGAGGTACAAGAAGATGTACCGGAACAAGGCGTTGCCGCGTACGATGATGAGACATATCGTCTCAGTCCCGTGTTTGAAGCAAGAACTTCTACTATTATGCCTACTATGTGGCTTGGAACTAAAAGCGGCAATTTATACATACACTCCGCTGTTGTCGATTACAAGAAATGTATCACAATGTAAGTTTTTGATTATTTTTTTTATTTTATTAATAAACTTGACAGTGATCTCAACTAGCTAGTCCCCTTACTCCCTAGCCTATTCGACCTACTCTTAGAAATTCTCATAATAGTACAAATTTAACTGTTGTACTATTATAATTATATAATTTTCTCTTAGAAGTTTTCTCAATGGTACAAATTTTACTGTTGTACTTTTTACTGTTGTACTATTTTACTGTTGTACTATTTGTACTGTCGTACTTTTTTACTGGTGTACTTTTTTTGCTGTTCTATAATTTTGTTACGGCAGTTGTATAAGCAGAGATGATGATTTCTTACTGTTTTACAATACTGTTATATAAATTGTTATTTATAGTTATATGTTTTTAATTATCTTGATATTTGTTGACAGAGTGAAGATGAATGATGCGATTCTCTCCATCGTGTCCTGTTCTTCTCGCTGTTTGGTCGCGTTGGCAGATGGTACTATCGCTATATTCGCACGCGATGGTACCGGACAGTGGGATTTGAAGAAGTACTTAGTAGTTACACTAGGAGACCCTAAGTGTTCAGGTATTTTTTCATATTTATTTTAAACCATAATATTTTATGATGTTAAGCTGTAGGTAGAGGATTAAACAATAATAACAGTCATCAATTCATTAAGACAATAGTGGAAAATAACTATAATTCTCATTTCACAATTTGATTTTATCCATTACTTGTGCGGAATTAAAAAAAAAATTTAAATAGCTACCTATTCTTCGATATGTTCTACATTTGAAATGGAAGTATTTATGTATTCTTTTATATGTTTTGAATGTCAAATTTTATTGATATCCGTTTGGTTTTGGACATAAACGTCCATTAAAATTTTCGTATTTATAATATTAGTAAGTAAGACTGGATTGTAGATGTATTAGTTACTGAATAAAGTTGTGGCAGGCGATAATTGTATATAGCATTTTAGGATAATAGTCAGAAAAAAAGACATATATCTCGAAATAAAGTTTATTATTATTATTACTAAGATAGGATAAATAATTAATATAATTGTTAGTTCGTTGCCTGTGCGTGGTTGGCAACACCGTGTGGTGTGGGTACCGCAACAAGGTGCATGTAGTGGAGCCCCGCACCGGCGCGCTGGTGCACTCGCTGGAGGCTCACCCGCGGCACGAGAGCCAAGTGCGACAGATGGCATGCGACGGAGACGGAGTCTGGGTAACTTTACTATCTATATCTATCAATACTAATGTAATAAAGCGTTAACACACATTACTTCGTGGTTTAGGATATTAGCAACCACTATGTTTTTAATAACTTTTTAAATAATACCCCAGTACGAGACTGTTTAGGCTGTATGCGAGAACGGGACAAAATTACAAGCTGCCAACATCCAGTATACACGGTTGCCATAGCAACGGTGATTGTTACCCAATGTTAAATGGCTTCGTTTTCATTTGTGCATTCGAATTAAGACATTTTAAATTAAACAAATGTAAACAGTAAAGTTGTTTTGTTTACTTTGTAAAATTTATCTATTGCAATTGTCAAATGCCCAAATCACAATGAAAGCCTTTGCCATTGGCTAACAATTACCGTTACCATGGTGCTGCTTTGCAGGTATTGGCTTGAAAAGTTTTTATCCCTTTTCCGCCTGACAATGTCATCAAAATCTGTTAAGCGGTTTTAGATGTAAGAACCATTCGCCCATCCATACAAACTTTTGCATTTATAATAATGTATTTTTTTAGACTATATTCTACATATATGCCAAATTTCATCCAGATCTGTTCAGCAGTTTAATCTACAAATTCTAACAAACATCAAACCATCTTCTTTCGAATTTATATTACTATGATAAAAAAAAATCTTTGTTGTCATAAAAACAGATAACACAGTTTCTTATACACTAATGTTTACATAAACACAATCATAATATTATACTTGCGTATTATTAATATACCTAACTGATTTAATTTATTTCATTAGGTTTCGATTAAAATGGATTCAGCGTTGCGTTTATACCACGCTCATACTTACCAGCACCTACGTGATGTAGATATCGAGCCGTATGTCAGCAAGATGCTTGGAACTGGAAAACTGGGTTTCTCCTTCGTCAGGATTACTGCGTTATTGATCAGTTCAGGACGTTTGTGGATCGGTACAAGTAATGGTGTTGTTATCTCCGTACCATTATCGGATACTCAAGGCTCCAGTCGTGATTCCAGTGGTAGTGGCAGGCATTCCGCAATCGCTAATACACCAGGTAAATAATGCTTATTTAACTCATAGATTCAAAAAATAGTAAGTACATTTTTGCTTAGTATGACATTAATATAGATATAATCGCCAAAAAATACTCGTTCTTTTGATTTAAATATTTCTACAGTATTAAACAATAATTAGATTATAATAATTTTTATGTTTCAACTTTTGTTTTGCTCATAATGCGATATATTTCTTAATAATTTAATTACTTGTCCTGTAAAGTAACGAAAATGTATTTATTATAGATCTATGGGCACAGAATTATTAGATTAAGTACATTCGGAAATAAACTATTAAAAACTAAATCAATATAAATATTAAATAAATAAGAAATTGTTCTCATGTAGTTTTATAAATACTGTTCGCGCGGGCACTGGCAACACCGTAAAAACATCAGAACCAAAAGTAACGGCGATGAAGAGATCTTACTACGCGCATATATTTATTATAAACTTTGTTGTATTTCCAAATAAACTATATAAACCAAACAAATACTTTCGTTTAGTAGCCGTATAATATCAAATAAGTATTCTTTTAAAATTTTAAAGGTAACAAATTTAAAATGAATCTAATTTATTACTTAAAAGAATTTACAATTTACATTTCAGCTACAGGCCGTGTACGTTCGGACTCTACCAGCCCTACCGGTTCTATCCCGTGGTGTTCCATGGCACAAGCTCAGCTGAGCTTCCACGGGCATCGTGATGCTGTGACCTTCTTCGTAGCTGTTCCAGGGAACGCCAACTCTCCAACACGTTCTCCGGATTCCCCTCAAAAGACCGCAGACTCACCGCAAAAGACCGCATCACCTATGCTGGTCATGTCCGGTGGGGAAGGATACATCGACTTTAGAATAGGTAATTATTATTTATATAACTAGCTGTTGCCCGCGACTTCGTCCGCGTGGTATTAGAAAGCAGACGACCTATGTAAATAACAAAAAAACTACGTGTCCCTTAGGAACCGGGCCTTTTTTGGAGATAAACCTTATCACATGTGTACTCCAGACTTTGTTTTATATCTGTGCCAAATTTCAATATCATATGTTGACCCGTTGCAGAATTATCGAGTAAACAATAAAATATAAAATGTTACATTACATGGGAACCGTAACTATTTCCAGGATAAAAAGCCTATGTGTGATTCCAGAATATGCTCTACATCTGAGCCGAATTTCATTGAGGTCTGTTTAGGTTACAAACTCTAACAAACATCCATCTATGTAAACTTTCGCATTTATAATATTAATATGATTTTAAAATAACACTGAACTCGTCCACAAAAAGTGTTCCGAAAAAATAAGTATAATATTGTTTATTTTATGTATTAGGAAATTAAGAAAGGCCATGTAAGTATTACTGAATAATGATAACTAAAGATTTTATTGCAATGTAAATTTAATTGAATAATATTTGAGATATATCTTTGTCTATAATGTCTCAGTAAATTAAAAAAAATGAAAAGCAATATGCATTTTAAAAATTCAGTTCTTATGTGCATTACTAAAACCATTTCACATAGTCCCAGGTGTTAACGAAATTATTTAACCAGCATAACTTCATCCATGACATTAAGTAACGATGTATTCACGAAATAATGCACTTAAAGTTATTAAGTTTACGGTCTGCTGTTATAGTTAATAACAGATGAAGAATAGACCATAAAATACAGGGAAACCACAAGCACAAGATCTACTAAGTAACTTTAACAAGTTGGTTTGAGGTTGAAATTAAAATAATCTTGCTTACTCAAGTAACATCACATTATTCATCAAAGCTTAAGAATTAACAACAAAATTCACTAAAAATAATGCATATTTTACAGTGATAATATATCGCTTTTATTGTAATGAGAAATTGTAAAAATTAGATGCATTAAACGCAAACATAAAGAGCAGGCTATACATTAAATAATCTTAAAAATAGTTATTTGACTATAATTTTTAATAACACGCATTAACCTTAGCTTAATTGTGCGTATTTTGATAACTTTCTTTTTGGCTTTACACCATTTTTTATATATTTTTATTGACCATTAGAAGATCATGGCGATGAACCGGACACTGGCTCCCACCTCATAGCTTGGCAGGTACTAGGCCAACGCTGAACGTACCTGTTATAATAAAGCAAAAAAAAAATACACTATCAAAGAAATGGTACGTCTTAGTTTCAATATTGACACAATGAGTATTGGCGCTTGGGACACTTCGTAACACAACTAATTCTAACAATATAAGCTAACTAACTTCTTACTGACGCACACTGTAACACTTTCAGTGCCATCTGCTCGCTTTGATTACTAGTGGCAGAGAATGTTAATAAATCATTACTTTAATGAACGTGGTTTTAACTTTAAAGCCTAATTTGTAACATAACAAGCTGGGTGAAGGTTTGATGTGTGTTTTTCTCATTAACATGGTCGTCACCTGGACTTTTGTAATTGGTTCTAGTTTGTTCTACAGTTTCATTTCTTTACATTATGTAATTATTTCATGTTAATTTATTATATCTGCCAATGTGTATATTGCTAATCATCTGTGATCATACTGTTTTTGTATAAATTCATATTTTGATGTGATCAATTGTGTTTAAATTTACGTTTGTACGCACGAAAATGCAAAACTAATTGCCACGTGCGAGCGAGAGCGTAGAAAAAGCTAGATAGTCACGTTATCATGTCAAAATATCTACGATAAACCGACTTTATAAACAAACAGTACTTTTTACTGATTAAAATATGAATAACTACTCGTTTTCGATATTTAAAAACTGTCGCTAATGTGTTTAACTTTAATTTTGTAGATAATGTATAAATAACAATCAACGGAATTTTAAAAACAAATCGATTAACAGAATTAATAATATATATTTCATAAATTGTCAACAAAACAATGTTCTTTTTCATAATTTTTGGAAGATTTTATTATTGCTTAGAAAAGCTTACTGTTTAGAATTTTTTTAGCTTAAATGAGTTAAGCGCGAAGCTTCACGTTTAATTTCTTAGTGTCTTTTATTCATATAAAAATGTTAACAGTAGGCTCTTTTTAGTAATAATCTAATTTGCAAAAAAATTTGAAAAACGACATTTCTTTTAATCCATATTTATTGTGGTATTTCTAATCTTTTAGCAATTGTTTTCAAAATGTGTTTATTTTTTTTTAGTTATATCGTTAATTGTTTCTGTTCCAGCGGATTCAGAAATGGAGGACAGTGTTGTGGTCGCTGAGGACGGGTCTAGTGGGCACAGCTCTCTGGCGGAGAGGGCTTCCAAGAGCCACTTGATAGTTTGGCAAGTGGCGACCGCCTAACGTGAGGCCTGCCGTCCACGCTTCGATTCCGAGTCAGATTACGTGTACGTATGCACGTCAACCAAACCAGCGACCCCTTACAACGCGTAAGTCGCTACAGTGAATAGGTCGTCTTATACTGGCGATGTGTTTTTTCAAATTACATCATTTCAATCTAAATAGTCACCTTTTAACTAATAACTCGTTCTCATAATGTTCACATCACCAGTGACGAAAGAGATTTTTGTAGTGATTCTTGATACAATAAAAGATTAATTTTTTCATTACAGTTTTACACAAATTCAAATTTGTAATTCTTAGTAGGGTTTTGAAATTTTTTCCTGCAAAAATCACTTCCTATTCACAGATTTAGCTGAAATCTTTAGTATACATTTGCTAACTGCGATGTATATTATGGATTAAGGTTAGATTCATATTCGCCGAAGTGTTCTCACATTTCATACGAACGGCGCATCATTCTGACTCCAATATAGAAGCAGTGCACGGCATTATGGACTTTTAAAACACAGTTTTACATATTAATCACAATATATGTGTGCTTCCCGTAGTTATTGTACACTCAGTTGCATAAATATACATTTGCAAATATACATATGCAAGTATCCTTTAATGCTATTCAAGATTGGAAGATCAAACTGATACAGACGGATTCATATTTTTAAAACCGAAATTTATAATACAAATTTCAGAAGATTAGCAAATGTATTTTTATGCAGCTAACTGGATTTTACCTTAGAATGAAAGTGCTATCACATGTATATTTGTCTCAGTTTTGTGGCAGAAAACGAAAGGGATGAGAATATATGTGATGGTAAGTTCTATGGTTGCTTACTCGTATAGTGTTTTGTGTATTATAGTACGATATTGCGTATCAATGTACCAATCGTATAGTTTTTAAGCTTTATCTCATCTAGTAATAATGTACAACTTGTAACCACCAAATAATACATTTCTGTAGTTAAGTTAGTATACAATTAAGATATCTCAAATGGCAGGAATTCTCCTACCCGTTTTTAATTTGGGCTGTGGTTTTTATCTGCAACACATTTAGTTTTTTTTCTTTAATTTAAGATTGTACTTGAAGTGATGTTATGATTTTTTTGTAATTTTGTTTGAATAATAATGTAGGTTTTAACGTGTTTATTTATTTTGCTATGAATTGAAAAGATATTCTAACAAAAGTATATTTTCAAATTATAAAATTATTTAGTTTGAATGAGATTAACTATTAATAATTTTGAGAAAATAATTAAACATGAATTGTTTTTCTTTTTTTTATATGGCAACTATTTTTTTCGAAAGCACGTTTTTGGTTCATCACTTTAAATATAACCAATGGTGCAAATTTAGTTTAGGTTACATTTTATTTTAATATAATGAATTATTGCAGTGCTATAAACAAGTAATTTATAGTTTGATATACATAGAATAGCTTATTTATTTACTTTAAGATATTTTTTTTATTTAAAAGTATAGTTGATTAACCATAAATCAAAGTCTAGATTAGAAGCTGGTGAAGGCATTGGATGATAAAACAAAAATCAAATATAAGTTGATTTAAATAATTTTACTATCAGTTGTATTTCAATATAATTCTGCTGTTGAGTAGAAAATATGTTTTAGGACCAATTAAAAGACAAGTGTTATATTTCAAAATTACATCGGTTTATTGGACTTTAGAGCGGAAGTGGATTAGTCGGGGGATGGGACGCTTAAGCAAGGAAAACATCCTCTTTTTGTGCGTCCCTTCCTCTATTAATTAAAATTAGGCTTTCGCAACTGGATGTACTGCGATCGATCGTCGATCGCTATTTTGTCGAATTACAGCGGCCAATTGATCGTCTGTCACCTTATATTATAAGTTTTATTTTTGCAATATTTCGATTTATTAACATCACAATTTCCAAAACATCAAAATGCCTTTTGACCAGCGTTTCTTCAAAGACCTAGTCAGAATGAAACGATTTAGATTTTAATTTAAGTAATTGCTGATAGATTTACTGAATGTTACACAGTTTGCTTTATGCATAAAACGAAGGTGTTGCGGGCATTATTATAGTAAGAATTAATCGATGGCTCCTATGTAAACTATTCTAAGTTTGAAATGCACATTCAAGACAAAACTTTCAATACTATTAATTACGCTTCAAAGGACATAAAATACACAACCGAAATCTAAAGTTCTTTTTATCAAAACTTTAAAAATCAGTGCTTATCCAGATAATTTTAAAATTATAAAACTAGAAGTAAATCCCAAAAATATTACTTACGATAGATTACGTAAGAGCCATCGAATATGTGATTTGCTGCTGAAGGATGTAAAAGTTTTCACAGGCGAAACATGTTTCTCGATAGACTGAGGGATAGTAACATGTTTTTTAGAAAAGTTAATGCACTATTGCCTATGGATTGATGAAATTAAACGTGAATTTAGAGCAAGCACATACAAATGTCATTGCGTGGGGAAATGTTATTTAGGAAAGGTCCCGATAAGGCTTAGTCAGTTTAGCAATGCTTGCAATATCAACCAAATACTATAGTTATATAGGCATAGTTAATATTGTAAACTTTGAATATCTTATTTTGTCTATTTATATTTACTTTATACTTTTTATACTTTCAACACAATATGTTATTATTTCTTTGAACATTTTACTTTTTTATCATCTTTATGTGAAAGTAGAGTTTCAGTTATTTTATGTATTGTGCAAACTCAAATTATAATGTTTTGTCAACTTTTAACTTATTTGAAACAATCATCACAAGCAGTTTATAATTTGAACACAAAGGTAGCAATCCATACATTTATAATCTATGGACAAAATGTCTCGTAGAAGTATGACATCTATTTAAAAGTCGATTTTATAAATGTCATAAGTATGCGTGACGTCATTTTTCTCCAAGTGAAAGCCTCCGGAAGCCTTTTTTGCCTTGATTTTGGGCTTCGGATAAGCTATAGATTATAAATCTGTGTTCTGCTATTAAAATACTTCTTTTCAATGTTCCATTATTTTCCTAGCGATAAATGTTTTCGTGTTTGTAATCTTGCTGCATCAAATAAATTAAAGCTGCTGCAATGATAGTTTTATTTTAACCCCACTATAATTTGGATCGACATGACAACGTCACACAGAAAATTTATATTCCTTACCGTTGGTTCCAATATTCTTTGTACATAGTTATTCTTGGAAAAAAAGAGGTCAATTCAAAGTAAAACTTGAATTTTTAAAGTTGGAAATTAAAGTAAAAACTAAATTGGTATTAGCGACATCTATTGAATATTGTCGGAATTACTAAAAACGCAAACTATATACTGTTACAAAGTTAGAACCGGTTTTAGACGTGACATTTCTTGTACCAATAGATGGCGCTGTACTCAAAAAGTTAGGAAAATGGTTAAGGAACTTTCTAAACTTACTTCAAGTTTAAATTCTTTTGAACAGGGATAAATGAAGCCTTGCGACTAACCCTATGTCCTACCTATTAACCTTTTAGTAGTAAAGTCCAATGAGCGTGCTTGCAGTTTTATAGACGCGATTATGTTAGGTTATGGCTGTATTAGGCGCGAAAATAACACCAAACTTGTTAAAAATTATTTTTTTTGTTTTATGGCTTTTTTTGTGTCAAAAACGAACGCTATATTGTACATAATTCATAACCTTGATAGTAGTTACTTCGTATGCAGTTTTAAAGTTTATTGCATAAAACAGTGTACAGTGCCCTTCACTAGTATTTCTTTCCCTCCACAACTACAACCGAGCCGAATCCGATGTTGTGCAACAGCAACAGATACTTTAAGCTGTTGTAAGATACTTAGTAACCGTGAATTTCCACTACTGAAACACCTGTAGAATATTCTTGTTGTCTACTATTTCAAAGAGAATAAAAGGAAAGATAAAAAATTTATTTTCTGGTATACACTTCCTTTAGAGGAGGCCTTTACTCGCAAAGAGGTTCCCGCAACTTCCAAGATATAAAAAAAAGCTAGTCTACTTAATTTTAATGTAATTTACATCCATAGATCGTTAGTTTAATTAGTTCGAAAACTTTTAAATGTGTAAGTAGTCAATTAAAAGAAAAATTGTTATGTAAACTAAGTTGCTGGAAATAAAAGGATTTTTTTTTATTTATTTTTAATACAAATACCCTGAAATACTTCCATATGAATCGTGGAAATTTCCTCTTCGATATCCCATTATCATAAAGATCAGATGTTGAAAATTATTTTAATAGATGTACATGATAATGATGTCACGTGTCATTCTGATGTCCGATACAAAACTTACAATGTAAGATGCAAATGTATACGATGTTTTGTTTCAAAAGAATTATTCAGCCTGTCCTCAGCAGTTGGCCCAGTTGCAATAAACATTTCACCGAATACATGCGAGAAAAATAACTTTTTTCCTTATTTTGTAAATTTTATTACAAGACTTTTTAAAAATTCATTCACGCTGTAAAAACTTAGTAAAGTATTGTATAATCTGGGGTGTAATATATATATAAAAAAAACATACAAATGAATTGAGTACCTTCTTCTTTTGGGAAGCCGATCAAAAATAATTTTCAGCGAGATTCATTTATTTATTCTAGAAGGATCCATCCATCTATCTATGCATTTATCTAAAAAAATAGTTTTCACCCGCTAATCTGTCAATATAGAATTTAAAAAAAATAAAAAGCCTATGCGTTCTTTCAGACTGTCTTCTTCATCTATGCCAAATTCCGAAGAGTTCCGTTCTGTTTAGGTTACAAACTATAACATTCATCCATCCATTTCAATTTTCGCATTTATAATATTACTAGCTTCCGCTCGCGACTCCCTCCGCATGGAATTAAAAAAAAATGTTTAGCCTATGTGTCTTCTAGACTGTTTTCTATATCTATACCAAATTTCATTGTAAACCGTTCAGCCGTTTAGGCTACAAGCTCTAACAAACATCCTTCCATCTAAACTTTCGCATTTTCTAATATTTGTATGACTATGAAGTATGTCTAAGTAAGATTTAGTAATTATTTCATGTAAAATTTACAAGTAGTCATAAGTATATCTTAGTAATTACTTAATCGATTCCTTTATGATAGAAAAGACGATTGGTATTACTTTAATCACATGCAGACTATTTAAATGTGAAAACTTCAATTCAAGCACGGATATACGTATGTCGATTTATTAATTTCTTTAACAACTGTGGGAATAAACACATGACATGTAGACACTTGAAGGAAAGCCTTTACTTTGAACAGACAATTGCAACGGGCCACTTAAATACGAAATTACACTGCTATGAAATTTATATCGAAACCTTGATTTTTATTCTTTGTTGTTGTTGTTGTTGTTGTTGTTGTGGTATAAACAAGTATTGGATACTTACTTGGGTAGTATTACATAAATTAAGATGTAAATAAAACACCAATTATATACATTACTGTTTATTTGATGGTTCATTTGCAAAAACAATTCTAAAGCTAAATAATACACACAATGCAAAATAACGGAAATATTTATAGAGTAATATTGCAAAGAGATTTCAATGTTTCACAATTTTGACACTTGTTTTTTAGAAATATCAATATTGCACAGTATGCTTCGAGTCGTGGAAATATTTTTCATCATTCATAGAACTTTTTCACGGTATTTTGTATTATTTTCCAGTTACTGATATATCAATTAAGAATTGACAATAAACAAAAATTGACTAAGCATTTAATGTTTGTTTTCATTTTAAATATTGTTCATTAGGTATACATAACATTTTGGGTATGATTTATCTTAACATTATCTTTCATTACTCGTGCACAATAACATTATACCTGATTTCGATGACGTAATCGTGTCTATTTTATTGTGTACACGTTTAAACATAAACTTAGAAAACAAATGTTTAGATCGAGAAACTCTGACCCGGTGGATACATTAGTGAAACTAAATCCCAATAGTTCATTAGCGGCACCCTATCAATTCTTGTCGGACTTTAGCTCAGTCTTGACTTGTTCGTTTTCATTATGTCTTCTGACAGAACTAGACGCAATAACAGCTCTCACCGGGCCACATCACAGTGTCAAAATATATCTCGTTAGGCTAACATGAATATGAGATAACCCCACTTGGTTAGGTGGGTTTGCGTTTTACGTTATTGTGCACGAGTTGTACACGTTTTGTGCGCTACTTACTCTACGATATATACTTGAATGAGGCGTTACAGAGCCATTTTTATAAGGTATAGTTTCTACAATACATCATCCGTTTTTCATAACATTTCATCGAAATATTTCCTCCGTTAACTTAGTAAAAATAATTCAGAAAAAGATTTTGTTAAGTAGCATTGATTTCTTTGAATGCTGAATATCTTGTTATATGCAAACCGATAGTCTAGATTTATCGATATTTATATTATATTTAAAAATATTCGAGATACAGAAAAAGTCGTAAAAGGCTTGTTTGACATTCAAATAACATGTCCGCTGGTTTTCGGACCCATGTTCATGCAATGGTAAATCTTACCGTCAATGTACGTTTTAAATAAGACGGTGAATGAACTCTCGTTATGTGACGTTCATGCTCACAAATTAAAAAAAGATGTCAATTACCAGTACAAAGATTTTTAAAAAATAGTATTTATTTCCAATCTGAATCTATGGGTTGAAAAAAATAAATTAATGCGTAATTTTTCAGAACGATTTGATAGATCGAGGTCATTGACACAAGCATACTTTTTTAGGTCGCACATCGTTTGTTTTTTTTTATCCAAATCGGCGTGACTTATTGAAAAATTAAATATGCATTTATAATCATGACGACAATGTAACGTCAAATGTACAGTATATCTAAGTTACCTAGGCGAAACCTACATTACAACGTAACGCACTGGACCCTAGTACTTATAGCTTTAATAACACTATTTTAAATCGTTATTCTTATATATTTGACAAAAATACGTCAAGTTGTTTACAAATTTGCAATAAATGTTCACTAAATAAAAGCAATTAATTTATGCAATTCCATTCGTCGAATTCGAAATTGTTATTTTATTAAAGTTCTATTTCTATTATATGTAATAGTCTACGGATAATAATAATTTCGTCGAACAATTAGTAGAAAAGATTAAAATTTAGCATTACATTTGTAGGAACTGATCCAGTATTCTGGTTAAGATGAAACGCTACAATTTCAATAAAATGTTACTTTTTATATGATTAGTAAAAATATATAAAACAAAATTAAAACATTACACAAAGTAGAACAATATTTTTCCAATAGACGTCGATTGAACATTTTGCTTCAAACAAAATATGAGAATGCGTTATATAACGGCTTACAGTATTCACTCTAATCCTATGTATATGGTAATGGATATAACTTACTAAGTCTGTAGGTACTTTTGGTATATAGTTATTTATTAGGAAGGAATAATTGAATAAAAAATTGACGTACTACGCATATATGTAAATGGGGTAATTTATATAATACAATACATACTATACTATATACAAAATTAGGTTTGAAGCGAAAACAAGTTACAAATATTCGAATGTTAACTAAGCAATTTTCAATACTATGCCATTTTGTTAGAAACTGCAAAACTTCAACAGTGTGAAATTATCAAATAACAAAATATTGCAGCCACATATAAAAACGAACACATTATATTTAAAAAATTAAGTTTGATGTATCTGTAAAGTAACATTGAACCTATAAAGTTGTCTTATGTAGTTATTGTTAATTATTGAAAATACAAAAAATCCAATTCTTACATTCATGTATAAAAAGCATTATATACTTTTTCACTTTAAAAGTATGTAGTTACAGAATATAATAAAAACACTAGATCTAAACCGTTCGAATAGACTCTTCTTAACATACCGATGCACTGAATCTTATATCGAATGCTTATTCCGTACAAAAAAATATTAAGGCCAAGTTGATTTCACGCTGATCCTATCTGTGCTTAGTCTACTAAACAAATCTCTTTCTAAATATACGTTCTACACACTCGCATACCTACTACAACGCATCACATGTTTTATCGTAACCCATGACTACATCTAGTGTAAATATCAAGTCTAAGTTCAGACT